AAAAATATATAACTTATTTATCTATAATCATAGGAACTAGGTAAAAAATAACCATATAAACAACAGAGCCAAAAACGTTTATGCATCAAGGCGCTACAAATTAATCCAAATCATTCTGGATTTAGTTCATGGATAAAATTTAGACAATAAACAACCATGTTTTATTCCGCTTCTTATATAAATGAAAGCCTACATTATCATCGTACTGGAAATCAATCTTCCAGTTGTCCAAAATATACGTACATCTCAAGGATATATGGCGTCATGTATTATATCAGTAGTTTAGTCCTCTTAACTTGCAAGTTGCAGATCTTTTGGCAGCAGTTGATAAAATCCAGATGTTGCATGTTCACACATAGGGGCTTTTGCTCAGGGGAAGGACTGCAGATTTCCAAGGTATTATTACAGCTGGTTCCCACCTACTGTCCCTAAAAACTTTATTCACAACAAATGTGCAACTCTTTGTTCACTGTTAGAAACTTTACCAGAATAATAAAGCTGTACTGCTATTTATGGTGATTAATTTGATCTACTGAAATAGAGAAAAAGGCACTCTGGGGCTGACAATTAACTGCATTGGAAATTGTCTTAAAGTTAACAGTCTCTGCTTAAGCTACAGCATAGCAATCATTGGAAACTGTTAATTCCCCCCTCTCCCCAATTAGGGACACCTTTGAGAACCTTGTAAATTAAAATAAAACCCCACTGCAAATCAAAATAAACAGGGAACTTTTCAAAAAGCAGCCCCCGTCCATTGCAAACCTGACTGCATCAAAATCTCTGGGGCCTGTGTACGGCCACTCTCCTCCGGCTCCGATTTTTTTCCCTTCCCTTTTGGAACACTCTTTTGTTCGCACCTGGGCTCAGCTTGCTTGGAATATGGAAGTTGACTCTGAAAATCAGATCCAATTAACACATCCTTGATATAACAGAATACAGTGTTAATTACATGCAGCTGATCATTGCTGGGTTAATTAAACACTCACCCCCAAAAGCTAAGGCACTAATCTAATTAACAATTACTACAGCTGCTGTTTTCTCTTTACACTTCCTTTCTAAATGGTGCATATTCACACTTAGGGCCCAATCCAATAAGTTCAGAGAATCTCCTTTGATCTGGATGGCATTTCTTGGGAATAAAAGGTTAGAAAACTGGGCCTTGGTTGTGTTACTGAAAGATCTGGAGACATAAAGAGAAATTGCTTAACATATTTTTTTTTAATGTGGGTGATGAGTATTTGAAATGAATTTTCTCCTTTAATTTGAACTCATTTTTCCTCTTTTAAAACATAGCTGATTTGGTATGTAGTTTGTCAGTTAAAGGAGTTTTAAGCCTGAACTAAAGAAGTTTTAAAAGGCATATAGTCTGCAATCCTAACACACTGCTGCTTAGGGTTGGATTGCTGTGCTACAGTTTTGTGTCCAGTACTGAACTAAGTGGGTAGATCTGCATATAATAAATTGGAATGGAATTTTAGCCATGGAAGTAATCAAGCATGATAAGCCCTATTAAAAGGAAATCAATGTAAGTTCAATGCTTAATTGCCTGATGAAGATATACCTAACTTTCCCCAGGTTGGATCCACAGTCAACAGGACATCTCTCACTAGGTTTCCCCATTTTTTTATTATGTAGCAGAACAATATTAGAGAAACTGAGTGATCAGCTGTACAGCTAGACTTAGGAATGTCTACAGAGGAGTCATAGGTTTATTCCAGTGATTAAGCAAGCTGGAATGAGCATGTGTATTGGACATTGATTAGGAACCAGGCTTTCTCATTTATTTTCACCCATGGAGTTTCATTTCTTTTAAAATGGCATCCTGTGTTTCTTTAAACTGCAGGCATTGGAGGGGGGTGGTCAATGATCAGAACTGGGACCATGGAGTGCAGGGAGGTATGGACTGTCTCTCAAATGAAATTTTCCCCAAGCTGCTATCTGGCCAGCTAGCAGGAAGCTCCCTGTAGCTTGGGAGGGAGTGGTCCTCCTATGACAAGTATCAGCTGGGAGGAGAAAAAGAGAGACAAGAGGAGAGTCATTGAGTGGATCACAGCAGGAAGCAGACAACTACTCCACTCTGTTCCTGAGCAGGGTCTCTTCTATAAGTTAAAAGATGCACACAATGCGATCCCATGAATTTAATGTGCCTTGTAGTTGGCCAGGAAGTGCTAAAGTACAACAATACTGTGAGATTCATAATCGGGTCAGGCAGACCTGATTATGACTTTCATCCAACTTGTTGGGTTACAACTGCACACTTGGTTATTTCTGGCTAGGTTGGACTGTCCACGTTTCCATAAAGGACTGCATGCAACATTATTTCTAGTTTACAGAGCCAATTTAGGCAGGTTTAGGGACTTGGGGATGAAAAGGGAGACTCAACAGTAAGATCAGGCACAGGAAGCAAACTGATCAAGAATAGAGTTGATGAAGCCATGCCACTGAAAATCATACCTTGGAGAAAATGTACATTAAATGATTTGAAGCTGACATGTTTTGTCCACCATACTAACTTGTGCAGACAACAGTTTTATTCAGTATTCATTCATACATTGCTTCAGGTTATTACAAAATAGTTTATTAATATAACAATCAGTATTCTATACAAACATTTCATTATTACATGGTTTACATATTTGGTGCCATTTTGCAAAAGCTAGAAGAATGGTTTTTTAAAAAAATGAAAAACTTTGTTCACTATTGAGTATATATTCTAATGGTGAACTGCCACCAGTTCTGATTGCAGCTGAAGGTTCATTTTAACTCATTTGTTCCATTAATATTTTAAGTGTATTGTATATACAGCTGAGCTGTATACTTTAAAAAAGCATTCTTAAAATATGGTAGCCCATAACTAACAAGCCCTAGTTTATTCATGTTTGGAAGGTCTTCAGTTCTCATATACATCACTGCATCTCAGAAGAAAGATGCTCTGATGGCATTTAGTGGAAGTCTTGGCTCTTATCAATGCGATATTCAGTTGACGATAAAGGTAGTTTTGAAAGGGTTAATCTTGTTCGTATGCCTTTGCCTGTAGATTGGAATGTAGAAATCCTCTTTCAGGGTCTGTAGTTTTCTGAGCTTCACATTTGCATTCTTCCACAAACCTAACCACCTTGAAGACAGGAGTGGCTGTGGTACAATTCATCTCCAAACGTTTCATGGAAAACTTGGTTGGCAAGCAGTGGGAACAGAAGGTATAGAGGCGATCTTCAAGACCGGGAACATGGAAAGAACTGCATTTCCCAAAGCACAAGTTGTTTTGGATCACCAGTTTCTCACAGTTGTCATGTGCAATGCTCTAAAAGAAAGCACACTACTATTAAAGTACTTGCTGCAATATTTCATTAGAAAAGATCAGAATTACTTTTGAAATATGTTAATAGAGCTATTTGTGCCAAAGCTGGCTGTACAACACAACTTTTTTTAAATAAGCATCTTCATAGTCTTTTGATCTATCCTGTACAGTAAGGCAATAATGTTATCTTTACAGGAGTAAAGAAATAGTTGCTTGCTTCTGGATACAAGTTCACAGCAAAACAAAGATGTGAATCAGGAGTTCTCTGCTCCTATCTCACACATTTACTGTGCTATATCAATTCCATATAATACCAGTATCCCATGCACAAAATGGCAAGGGTTTGCTTTAAAAAAATTATTTGGGAAAATTGGTATTTGCTGCTGGTAATGATTGGAAGAAATAGAGCCTGGCTTCATAAAATCAAACTTCTGAAAGTCAGTGATATATATTAATTAGGGACAACATATCCTCTCATTTCAGTATGTACAGATATCTTCGTGTACTTAAACGTCTAAAAGCCATAACCTTAAATCTATCTCAAACTTTAATCAGTGTAAAACAGAAATTATGCACTTGAAACATTTACATGTTTCCAATTTTTGTGACCTCAGCAGAACAAGCATAAAGGCTACTGTAAAATAACTGTTATGTCCAAATGCAGCAAGCTTCTTGATTCTCACATTTATAAAATTCTCACTTTTAGCATTAACTGCTAATAAGTCCATGGGCAAGCCACTTTCCTCACTTTAGTTTCCACTCTGTAAAAATTGAGAAAATACTGACCTATCTCACACAGTTGTTACGAGGATGAACCATTTTGCAAATTAAAGAATACTAAATAAACAGTAACAGTGTTTCACTGGATATTGTGGAGTTTAGAGAAGAAGGCTTAAGTAAGTGCCAAAGTTGAGCTTTAACTTTACCTGAGAAAAAGGGAGAGTGCTACAGATCTCTTGGTACATTTCTTTGGTCTTGATTGGGAGAATAATTTCTTCCGACCTTGACTTGGTTTTCAACATAAAAAGGTCCCAGAATTTCTTGGCATCTTTCTTGAAGAGCGATTCTGTTTCCCTCTTGCTGTGTGAGTGAGAAGGTGTCTTTTCTGTGGCCTCTGAATATGGGAGTACTCTTGTGGGAGCCCAGTTTCCTAAATCTTGAGCTGCAGGACTATCAGGATATGGAGAACTGGTCTTAGACATTTTTGGGTTGTCTTGGTTCCTTCTCTCCATTTCTCCTAATAAGTGTGGCACCAACAAACCGGTCTCTGCCCGAGGTCCTTCATCATCCACAGGATATTTTGTTAGCATATCTTGAGCTAGGAGATAAGATGTTCTCATTCCCCTTTTTTCCCGCAACTCACAACCTTGTTCTGCTATTCCGACCCATGAAATCAACAGCATCTGAAGCAATAAGAAAAACATAATACCGCCCTTGTTTTTGGGTAGTTCTTCCAGTCAATTGCCTGCAGTGTGCTTTTTTTAAGGTAGAAGGCAGACTGCCACATTTATAAGGAAGGCCCACAGTTTTCAGTTCCGGGGCTGCACATAAAAGGAGAGAAACAAAGGGAGATCCAATAGGTGGTGCTCATTAACACTCATTAACTGTAGGCTCTGTGCTAAAGGTGTCTCATCTCTGCTTTTATTCTCGAAGAATGTGTATTCAAAGTTTGTATCTCCAACAGCATCTGTTTTTCCTAGCAGGGATTATTTTAAATGTTTAAATTGTTTAACTGTTGCCTTGGAATTGTGGAAACTTCCTCGATGTGTATTAGCTACACAGGCTCTCCAAGGCAGCATTCCGGAGGAAAATGGCTCATTTGCAGGCACTCTTTAAATCAAGCTCAAATTTTTCTCAGCAAGAGGCGGATAGTACATGTATTTGTAAAATCCCATTGGAATTATATAGTTCAGCCATTCAAGAAGTACAGAGTACACATCAGAATAATGATTGGTCACTTGCATATCTGTTGCAGTTTCTAGATAGATGTGAACTTTAACAATCTCATTTCAATGGTTGAAATGGATCTTCTCGGGGTCCCCTCATGCAACTTGCTGCTCAATGCAGGGTTCTTCAAGGGAGAAGAATCAACAGGTTTTCCAAACATGGTGATGTCCAGATGTTTTGGACTTTGCTGGCTGGTAGGAGTTACAATTCAAACTATCTGGAGGGTACCAAGTCAGGCAAGACTGACCTAGAGTCTCATTCTGTTTCAATCAGTGGCTGCAATCAGTGGGAAAGGTTTAGCCCCAGATCATACAAGACCCAGTGTATGCCCCCTGTGTGGTCTGGAATGGGAGCTGGCCTCAGCTTTTTGCCTCCTGCCACTGCTGCCTTGTACAAGCATGCATGCCACAAGGTGTGTGCCCATTTGGCTCAGGTTATCCTTGGCTTCCAAAATGCAACAGGCACACTATGGCCAACTTCTGTGCTGCAGCACAATTTGCCTTCATGTGAAATTCCACGTGTTGGGTGCCACAGTTTTTGCCAGGAATTTTCCATAATCCCTCTTACTTTTCTAAGGTGTAGCAACACTGAATCATTAACATATGTAGTGAGAAGTCAGTCACATCCTGGCATTCCAGTTCAAGTATCTGCTTGAGATTGTAGGATGTTGACATAAATCGTACTCAGGGCATTTGAGCTCTTTATGGCATGTATTTCCTCTTTAAAGATGACCATATTGGATGATTGTTCAAGACAAAACCACAATAGTCTGAGCCTCCTATCTTTTTATTCCAGAGCGTTTGGGGCTTGATATATTTTCTTGTTAGTATTACACCCATTCAAATCCATACAGTTTCTTCTTGGTTTACTGTGAGAACTATTGGCCAGTCTGCCAATTCACACATAATTCCTTCGGACATACCTCAAGTCTTTATCATCAGTGCATTCAGCACAGTGTCTGAATGGCACCTAAGCCAGTCTCTGATTTCTGGGAGCTAGGACAACAGAATTCCATGGAGACACAGAATGAATGAATGAATTCCAGCATAATCATAATGTTAATCTAATAGAAGTGGTGAGTCCTGCGTTATCTTCATGATTACTTTTATTGCGGCATTAAGATTTTCCAGACTGAAGCTCATTGTGGCAGATGCATGAAACATTATCTGACATTGGCAAGCACACAAACACACAGCTATAAGCACAGCCGGTCACATAGTTACAGAACGGGAAAAATGTGTAAACACTGAGACCAAAGTTGAAACTGTACACAATTTAAGGAGCCTCTTCCACCACTCTGTTGGGTTGCAACTTGGATTTGTACCCTGCTTAATACAGTGTTTACTTGAGTGTCTGAAGGCATTCTTTCAGTTGAACTGCACTGTGGATTGGCATGAATGAACCACGTTGAATGTGGATGGTGTTGTCCCGGGACTTAAAAAGAGGGGACAAATGAAAAACAAGCAGAATGCCTGGAAACTGCAAATGGTATCATGAATACACAAACAGCTGTTTACACAGAGATTGCAAATTGAATGAATCAAGGTAATGAGTTGCAGAAATCATCTTGATTTGGAAGCATGTTCAGTGTTTGGTTGCCTGTGTGTTATTGGTGATAATGCTGCATTTTAGTTTATATGTTAGGTGCAGTTTTAGCCCCACAGAATTCCTTGAACATTCCTTATTTCTCATTAAATTTGTCAAAACTATGCTCTCTTTTAGATTGATTGCCCCAAATGCTCTACATATAAAACAAATAAAACATTTGCCAGCAAATGTAATATAAAGGAGTGGGGGGAACGGTAGCTCGTATTTTCAGAAGAAAAAAGAATAAAGAATCCTAAACACATTTTCTTGGAAGGACACTCAGGGCCAAAGTAGACGTGATGTTTGCCAATATCATTTGCACTTGCATGGCTGAATTTTCTTTAACAAATAGGTGACATGTGGTGGAGGGAGAGCCAATTTGGACCATGGCATGAGCGGAGAGGAACTTAACTCTTTGCCACCTCTATGGCCCTGATCTTACTCCACACATTCGCCTGCAATACTTTGTGTTGGTGATGATTCAGCGTTTATGGTTTTGCAGAAGCAGAAATTTAAGCAAAAATGCATGGATAATGTCGGAGAGTCTTTAGAGTCCTAGTCCAAAAGCCTGTTCTTACTGGAGAAGCAACACAAAAAGATGCCAGCACTGATGAGGAACCATTTCCAGGATGGCAGATGGATGCAGGAGGATGGGAATCCGAGGGCAAAGTCCCTTCCCTGTTTTGTCTCCACTGCAGAGTTGCAGGGGAGGGGGCCAATTTATAGTGGTATTGCGAGTTGCTGTTGCTTTCCTCCCTTGCGATGACAGTCATGCATCTGGGAAGAAACACAGAAACATAGAAATAGAGCGAGTCAGAAGGGGCCTCCCGGGCCATCTAGTCTGACCTCTGGCACCAGCCAGCTCCGCTCATGACATGCCCACCATGTGCATGTCCAGCCTATCTTTGAACACCCACACCGATCGGGCCTCCACAAGGGTGTTCAAAGAAGGCTGGTGGTGCTTCTCAGCCAAATGCTTACCAGATTAGGGTCGTTCCATAGGCTTCAATCAATCGCTCAGAGCAGTGTATACTCTAGCATATTGATTATATCAGCATCATTTTATTTATAGTATCTATGTAGGTATTACAGTGCATAACAGGGGATATAGCATGCAAAAACAGATTAGGCTCCAATCCTTTATATATTTCACCAGGAAAAAAAAACTGCTACTCATAGCATAGCAAGTTCAGGAGTTGTAGTGCCCCGCCCCCCTTTTAGGCAATCATAGGATTGTTCCTATAGCACCTATTTAAATTTAAATAAAGCCAAACCACAGTGTTGATAAACTTATTTCTTCTAGCATTCAGAAAACAACATATACCTTTCAACATCAAAAAATCCCCATCCTCTCATTTGGATATTCCCTGGGGCATAAGTCAAAAAAAGGAATGCAAATTGCCCATTGGAAAAATAATGATTTCTGAAAAGCAACTGTATTTTTAACATCGATATTGAAAATATGTTGAACATTTTACAAATATCAACTCTAATTTAGCAATGGTATACTCAACTCTTTCCTCCTAAGGGCTGGATGACATGTCAAGATGTATTGTCTTTTAATCACTCTGAATTGTAAAACAAAACCAGAAAAAACCTTTCTTTCCCACTTGCTCTGCTCCTCAGAAAATACTATATGCATCATGAAGTTTTCATGATGAACCCAAACAGATCACCTTTACATTAGCTCTCTTCAGGCATTCAGATTTTAAGAAGTGTATGGGAAACATCCACATCTCTCCATGTTGATGGGGAAGCTCCATGGCCACGTACAGCTTGAGACAGTTCCAATCTGCCACAGGGGTCCCAATCATGCAAGGGCTACACTGGTGTAACCACATTCAGCAGAATGGAGCTACTGTGTCACCACACACATTTGCTGACATAATGGGAAGGTTGGGGGTGGCATGGGGAAGTATACGTCCCCATTGCCTTTACACATTTTAAAACCGCAACATGCAATACTCCATTTTGCTTTGTGTGTCTTAACAGCCATTGCTCGGCTATTTAACCCAAGAATTGCTTGGTGTGAGTGAAACAATGAGCATGCTACCTTCTGCATACTTGTTATCTCTGCTTTTTGTGGCGTGCAGACCCAGAACTCTGGATTGTTTGTAGGCTAAACAATCAACCCAACAATTTGCCCATGTTTTCTTGGTAGGTTAATTCTGAGATGTTTAACCCAGAAATAACCTGGAGGCTCTGGATTTGCACATTATGCAACATCCTAGGAATGGACTATGCTCATTTCCATAGTCCCATAGAAAGAACTATGCTTATTCTTACAATGAAATTGCTGTCAGACGTGTGAACCACGTCACTGCCAGTTGGGACATTTCTACAAGAATCATTTGGTACTAAAAGTCATTTGCAGATGATTTACAGGTTACTCACCTTTTCCTGAGCCTCTCCTGTTTGTTCCTTACAACCTTTTCTAGAGCTTTTCTTAGACCGAAGAAAGACTGGTCTCTGCATGAAACCCTTGTGTATGTGCAAATTCCACTATGCCCCAGCACCACCTTGTGCTTGTGTAATGGAATATATAGAAAACCCTAAGAACACCCCCAGTGTGGGGGGAAAGCATGTGAAGGAGCCAGTCTTTTCCTGCACAGATTCCAGAAGCAGAAGATGTGGTAAAGTGACAGGTTAAAATCCTCATGTAAGAAAGCTCTTACTGGGACCATGCAGATGACCATGAAAAGTACTGGGATAGTTTGGTTATCTGCAGGGGTTTAGTATACACCGTGTGTCTTAGAGCTTTTCTACACATGGCTATTAATTGCTGTATCTCAGCTTCATCACAGGACTGAGGTCCAGACTATACACAAAGAGCTTTTCCTTTGTTGTTTTTCTGCTATATAATATCTAGTTGGTGGTGTGCTATGGCATAATATTGCAATTATGCAAATAGGAAAGCACCTCTTCTTTTGCTTTCAGAAATAATATACCATTTTGCCACACTCTAAAAAACCAAACCAGAATGTTAAAGAATGTGCTCTTTAAAATCACAACATTGTCTGAAGAATCTATAAACAATTGAGTAACAAATCATTAAAATGCCTCATATAGAAAAGATTTTGGAGAGGGTAAATATTCAGATTGCAAGTTCTACCTTTAATACAGCAATTGTAGTTTTTATGGGATTAGTGCTAATAATTCCCCTGCTGCTGTCCACACTGAGATGGTGTTGTACGGAGAGAGAAAATGCAGCGCATGTCTTAAGGGCTCTTATTGAAAATATAGCATGCTAAATGTTAGGGCAGAGAGCACAACCTGGTGCTCTCCATTCCCCACAGCTGATTTCCCTGTCACCTGTTTTTTGTTCCATTTCTAGAGATACAGCTCACTCTTTTTCTGCCACTCCAAGCAGCAAGGAAAGAGCAGTCTCTATCAGGACCATGTGGTGTATGTGTGTGTACATGCATGAGTGTATAGGCATGCATTTGTGTGTGTGTGTGATGTGATCTCTGACCCATAAGCCAGCATCACATGTAGCTTTGGGGACCAAAATATTTGTTTACTCTTGCATTAAGGCAAAGAAAATATGGAAGAGAATGCAGAATGGCTGAAGCAGAAATGTAATATGCAAAAACATTTTAGCATTTATTAGTGTTGATAATATATCACTGAGAAACAGCACATATTTATACAATTCCACTAGGATTCTTTAATGTTGAAATCAAAGGACATTGGGGCCATATCCACCTTATAATGATCTTTGGAACTTACAATTTGAGGGCTGCCCGCACTCCATTTGGAAAGAGAATTTAAAAATTCAGGGCCAATACAAAGCAGATGGCAGGTTCAATAGAGGGCACCATTTTCCCACATTCAACCTCCATCTCCATTCAGTATGTGTGAAGGAGAAGGGCATCACTTTGACTTTCTTTCCCACTTCAGGTTGAGAAGTAACTGCATTCCTATGAGGGATAAAATGACCTTTCTAGGAAAAACGGGGTAGCTGACATACAGCACAATGTCCACACCCCACAGGTCTTCTGCAGCTGCCTACCTAATTGTTGCATATTTTGTTTCTCTTGAATGGGGCTCTGGGGCAAACAAACACTCATAGTCAATATACACCCCAAAGCACCAGAGATGGGGAGAAGAGGGGTGAGGGTGGTGTGTGAATACGGGATGTTAAAGTTTTCTCCATCACATTTGAATCTCCCTGCAGCCCTGTACAAGAACATTATTATTGCAAATAGGACAACTGATACCCCCACTCTTGAGCCCTCGCAGCACCCTTGGTTGCAAATAAATATGTTTTATTATACACAAAGCCAGGCATGTATTAGAAAGGCAGCTTTCTTCATGGTTTCCTAGAACATATATAGTTGTGTCCTTTGCCCTTCCTGCAGTCCTTTCGTTGCCATTTACCCTTTTGCTGTACTAAAATACAGTTCCTTCCTTTCTTTGAAAAATGAGGTGGTTCTTTCCTCCAGTTTGTGAAAGCAACATATTCTCCATCCTCCCATTCTAATTGGCCGGGATTTCTCTGGTCATTCAAGCCTAAAATGAATTAAAACAGACAAGTTGGATGAAATGGAAAAACTGGTGAAGGATTCCAACCTACCTCTCTCTCTCAAAAATTTTTATCTTGAACTCTCTAAAATGGATTCCTTCCCCTTAGCTGTAGCTATCCTAATTGGACAGATATACTCTATCTCCAAGGAACTTTTAGTTTGGGAGAGATTTATTTTGAAATCTTAAACCTTGCTGGGGTTTAGACTAGGAAAAGAGTAGATTTGGTACCTGCAGCAGGGGACTGCAGCCACTGACCCTTGGCCAGTGCCCCAATACCATCTGGTTAAGGCCCGTGCCTCTCAAGATCCAACATGAAGCTGAGCCATGAGCTCTTGGGGCAGCAGGGAAATGCTCCAGAAGAAAGGGACAGGCTGGGAGAGAGGCCAGACTCACAAGGACAGAGCTTGATGGATTTGGGAGCTCCATGCCAGAAACTTAAGAGACCAAGAATTTGCCTTCCATGGAAGATGTTAAGAGGTTTTTAAGCATGAACATCTTTTAAAATAACAGTACACCAAAATTTGCACTTAAGAACATGCTTTCTCTTTGTTTTGCTATATCATTTTTGTTTGATTGATTGATTTCTATGCCACCCCATTAGCCATAGACTCTCTAGGTGGCTCACAACATAAGAACAACATTCTAACAACAATTAACAATACAATTAATTTATAATGAACACAATATAAAATTAACCAAAAAGGTAGCAATAAAAACAAAAACAACAACATAAAACTAAGCAATTAATAACATAGATAAAAATTATACATACTAAAAGTTTATCAAACATTAACAGAATATGGCGGCAACAACATAAACCATACAAACCATTACACCAAAACAAATCAGCTCACTTGTCAGAATAGTCACAAAAAAGGTAAAAGTTAAAAACGTGATACCTGAAAGAATAAAGGGTTGGTGCCAGCCCAATCTTGCATGGGAGTCAGTTCCATAATTGGGGCACTAATATGAAGAAGGTTTGGTGGGAAATGGAGGCAACTGGTATATGGAGGGCATTCTGCTCCATACTCACCAATCCAAAAAGGCCTCCTTCCACTGAGGTTCCACAGCCACTGCATGTGTGATTTGGAAGCCACACTGACTAGACTGCCCTGGTACCTAGGACAAGAGAATTCTCTTAGACTCAGAAGTAAAACCTCTCCTGTGGATCCAGGTGCAATGTGTGCAATTAACAATAGTATGTAAAGCATATGCTATAAAAGTGGATGTCAGTATTGGGGGTCACTAAGAAAACATTCCTGTACTCCCTGCAGAATGTCCAAGAGATGACAAAGGTTTTTGGATTCTCCCTCCTGAAACCATAGGGATTCTCCCTCCTGAAACTGCTACAACTTCAGGAGGAGGGCTGCAAAACCCAATCCCCCCACCCATGGAAAGAAACATGGCACCTACTTTCCAAGGATGCAAACGCAGCCACAGACTACCTCTCAGAGGCCTGAAAGGGGGTATTCTGGGACAAAGTGAGAGGGACAGGACAGGCTACAAAGTGTCCTATAGACTCTCCAGCCAGTGCAGGCCCTCTCAGAGGCCTGTCTAGATGACCTCAAAGGCTTCTCTAGAGGTAAAAATACAGGGGGAAGAGAGGCAAAAATTGCCTCATTTATTCCTCACTTTGCTGGGAGCGGCCTGGCCAGGAATGGGATACTTGGAAGCTTCTGACGGAGACACAACCCAAAGGAAAGGGCCCTAAAACACCCTTCAGAAAGCCGTTTAGAAGGCTATTTTGTAAGGTATCACTGTGTGCCTATTCAGATATACACACAGCATATTATGATACACAGTATGTCTAATACTTCTTTGTTATAATGGCTTTGTTCCAATTTTGGCCCAAGACCTTAAGCAGGAAGATACTTATAAAATCACAAACCAGCGCTAACTTTGGCATTCACATTTATTTCTGTAAAGCACTGGATTATATGAAACAGTGGCTGACCAAAGGCATATGCAAATTCAGAGAGCTTCATACCACTTCCTGCAAGCCTGGGCAGCTGCAGTCCATCTGGCTTTTGGATCAGTGATCAGGACATAGCAGCTTCCATTATAATGGCTCCAGCCAGGAGGACAGGTTTTCATATTAGCATCCTGGAATTATATAAGTTTACTTCAGAATGGTTTGCTAAATCATTTCTACTTTTGCAGAGGAGCCATTGGCTCAATTCAGAATGAGGTTTGGAAAACAGAATGGTTTTCCAGAAAAAGCTGGATTCCTGATCTGGATTCTAAAAAAGAACCTGTTGCATTCCCAACAGCTTCAGCCCTGATGTTCCCATCTTCATGCCCCATCGATGTGTCCTGCCTCCTTGCCCACTTTTCTTTAATGGCAGTAGCAAGATCTCATTGAATGCCTCTTCCCTTCCCAGTGCCTTGAATGCTACAGAAAGGTCAAGAACCAAGGACTCGAGGAAACACTACTTTCTCAGGGCACCTGAGTGTGGGTATCAGTGCACTTAGCAACACCTTAAGTACAAGTTGCCCCAGCAGATGTAATTTACAAACTATCAGTTGTCCACATTAATCATTATAATGGGAAAATTGCATTGCTCTTGGTCCCTGGCTGCTGGGACGTTGCTGTTGCAAACGGGAGGCCACGCCAAAGGACATGATTTCTAATTCCACCAAGCATTATGAGTGGGATGTTTGTTTCCAGGTGAGAATGAGCTTCCTCAGCATCATCATTAAAGCTGAGACTTCAATTCCATTAAAAAGAATTAAATGACAAATGGTGTATATAAGAAATTTGTATGTACTGCCATAAACCTATGTAATGTTTGCTGTTTGAATAGAAGTATTCAGCCAAAGGCTGAGTTTCTAGTTTTTAGTTTTTATTCACAGGTACAGATAAATCATTTTCAGACATTTAAGACCCATGAACCAACTTTAACCCCAACTTGCAAAATAGACAAATGTTGAGTTTTCTGCCAGGTATGTCCATCTTTCCTTCCCTCTCCCTTTCTTTCTGCCCCTTCTTTTTCTCCTTTCCCTTAAAAAGAGTTAAACCAGTTGCAGTTTATAACCCAGCAGCTGACAACTAACATTACAAATCAAGGTCAACAGCTTGGATCTTAGCCAATCTGCCTTTACCCTAGTTTTCCTCACGATCACAGGCCAGTGCACCATCATGGGACAGGGCTGGTCTAAAGTATTTTTTCTCCCCGAGGTAAAGGACAAGACGGGACCCACCCAAAAAGAGCTGATTGGACTGGTAGTGAGGATGGCTGCTAGTAAGGCACACAGGACTCCCATTTAGGAGACACAGGACAGACCTAGCAGTCGCCTCCCATAGCTCTGTCCTCCAACACCTCAATCTATTTCTCACCCTCCAGCATCTGCCACCTGAGGCAGCTCCTTCACTTTGTCTAGTGAATCACAAGCAAATAGATGCATTAAGGGCACAATCATACACATGGTTAGCCAGAAAAAAATTCTACAACTCCCAGTCCTACAATGCTTGGAGAGAGGGGACTTTTAGTATTTTCTTTCTGTATTTTTTTTACAGTACAAGATTTACACACACACACACACACACATTCTCTCTCTCCAAGGAAAGCAGATTGCTACCTTATTTGTGTGATTCCATAAGGTCCAAGAAATACCATCACACTGGAACATCTGTTGGGTGTGTCCTTCAAAATGCAAGAGGCCCTTCAAATCTGGTGAGCATTTATGTGGAAAAGAAAGGCTCTGAACCTGGAAAAGGAAGGAATGTTTCCAACGACGAAGTAGAAACAACATCTAGAATTAGTGCTGCAAAGCAGTCCCCTGAATGTGTAAAGTTAGTGTTTTACAGAGATGTGTTTGAATTGTGAGAACACATTTTGGCTGATGGATGCGTGATCAAAAATAACAAGATCTGTTTTTGTAAGCCTTTTGGGAGGAGCCTTCAAGAGCAGTATTTTCTGCAGCTTTCCTTATTTTACTGTTTATCATAGCATGGCCAATTTGATCTCTAAGCATATGATGCTGCCAGCGCCACCGCTGCTGCTGGCTTCCTTAAGCAGTCAGCCCAACTGGCCAGCATGCTAGTTCTTGTGCCTGAGTTGTTCCCACCTGGCTCCTGCTATTGTGGAAGCAGCTAAACAAGTCAGAGACACCCCATTCCTGTGCACTAAAAGCAGATTGCTGAAACATAAGAACCAGGCTGCCGTCCTTATGTCAGTGTGGCACAGTGGCTGGAATGAAGCACTGGGACTTGTGCTACCTGAATTCTAGTCCCCTCTCAGCCATGAAGCTCACTGTGTGTCTTTGGGCTGGTCACGCTCTCTCAGCCTAGCCTACCTCACAAGGTTGTTGCGAGGATAATATAGAGGAAGTCTATGTAAGCTGCCTTTGCTTCCTTGCAAAACAAAAGAGTGGGATATAAATGTAATAACGATAATACAGTCAATTTTAAATGTTTCCAAAATATAGCCCTTGTGGGAGCATAAACAAACAAAGACTTGTATACCAGAATGCTGGAATCTGCTTGCAGGGCATCCATATTCTTGGAAGGAGCCGCATTTTTCTCTGGTTCTCTCTGACTGAGGACTGCGATGATTGCCACTTTCTTTTTGCTAGGCAGCGGCTTGTCCTCATCCACTCTTAGCATGGCCATCCCATGGTACTTGACGAGAAAGAACAACCGCCACCACCACCAAATGGAAAGAATGGATATCTCATCAGATCATTCCAAAAGTGTTCTAGACACAGAACTTTAAAAGCCTCTGTTGAAATACAAACTGTGGTTAAGGCTCAAAATACTTGTGCTGACAGTTGACTCATGCTGGGCTGCCTCTAATAACATATAACATGTGGTAGCAAGGGAATCCAATTTTAAATGCAAAGGTGCAAGCGAGTGGAAGTGTTCCTCCATGCTGACATCACTTTCTCCCAACCCCTTGACTGCCGATATCGCCATCTGGTTAGGAGGAAGTGCCCAGGGGTGTCTGGGTGGTGAGAGAGACGTGGGCAAGGGAAGCCTATCACGTTCTGCTCTCTTAGAGACCCCTTTTGCTCTTAAAAGCAGACCTGCGCTCCTAGCCCCTCTCCTGTTTGTTAGCACCCCGCCCTGCTCGGTGGCTTGTGTGCCACCATCACATTTAACATGGAAGCAGAAGGGGGACTGAGACAGGAGGTGGTTCAGTGGACAAACAAAGTCAGCCTTGCTAATCAGATGGTAGATGTAGTAAAGATATGACACAACATAGCTCAGACAACAGAAACGTGTAAGCAGCTGCTCAGCAATGTTCTTACTTTAAAAAACACACCGGTCCCATTTCTAAACTTGGAAGAAGGATGGACCTGTAAGGAAAAGGTGACATGCTCACAGTGTATCTCTGTAACGGAAGCAAAAAGTGAGGGCAGTGGAGGTGCAATCACCTGGATGCAATTAACTCTTTAACTGTTTCTTCACGTACAGAATGGGAGGAGATACCACCTAGGAGAGGGGATAGGAGAAGCAACCTATCCGCAGGCAAAAGGGTTTGCACGTAGACAAACAGAACCATACGGCCTGCAGATCCCACAGTCCCACTGCTGGCCGCAACACAAGGTTCTCACACCAGCCCCTGATCGATCACTCTGTCTAGGCAATGTAGTTCAAAGCGTGCCACAAACAGGCTGACGGTACATGCTGCAAACATGCAAGCAGACAGACAGACTAGATAATTTAAGTGATGGAGTTGTGGCAAAAAGGCTTAGCAGGGGCCTCATTCGTTCATCAGGTGGATGGACGAAAGCATTTGAAATTGCGAGTGCATCATGGGCGCTGTCATAAAATGGCTGCAGTGAGGGGGCTTGCCTGATCATAAAATGGATGCAACAGTTGGCAAGGCCAGTCACAGGACAGTCATTTCTCAGAAGGCAAACCGGTGAGACAAAAATAAAAGTGATTTGCCAAAGAACCCACCTACAAGAAAGAGTCAGGGTCCGTGCTTCCCAACACAAAAGTATGCCTTTGGAGCCAAATAAATATGGCATTTGAGCACAGCACTGCACTTTGCAGTATGTCAGCCTTCCTAGTCATACTTTTTCTTTTTAAAAAATCAGAAATTAAAACACCACACAGTCAGGAGGGACAGAGTCTGGCAGGTGCCAAAAGAGATATCGGATCCACATTGAAGACCCCAGTCTTGGGGCATAAAACGTGGGTATGTTTAGCCACACATATAAAAGAAGTATCCATTTTGACTTGCCCAGCTTGAAATAGATGTTTATAAAATCTGTCTGCAGATGATATTTTAATATTATTATTAGTCCAAGTTCAAACAAGCCCACAGAGTTTATAATCTGCCTCTAATTGGTTTGCTTTGTTCTTCATTGCCTTTATATTACACAGTGCTTTGAGCAATTTCCTGTTGCAAGGGAAGCCTATTAATAATGCTCAAATCATATGTTTGGAGAAAATCCTTTCTTCCCACAAAAGGGCAACGTGTGCAGGGGAAAATATTTTTTCAACCCCAACAGACAGCAAAATGGAAAACACAAAGGTTCCTTCATCAATTCATCTGGAAAGTATTTCATTCATCACCTCCACTGCTTTCATAACAATATGTTTCCCTCCCCTCTCTGTTCATGAAGACCTTTACTTGTCTGAAGCTGCAGACAATGAGCTCGTTTCCACGATCACTGCAGCCTCCCGTGATTTACTGAAGCCACGATGGCTTGCAACACATACCAATGGCCTTTTTGAATATCCCACCCCCACTGAATTGAACATGGCTTGCTATGTTGTCGGAGCCTGGACATCAGGAGATATCAGAGGGATAAACAATCCTTGAAGAGCCCTACAACGGACCATGAGGGTTATTCAGCCTCAAGCAAGCTCTGCAACTCAGGCTTGGACCACGTAACAAACCAGTGCAACCCTTCACTGGGGTTGAACATTCGAAACCGTTGCTGGTACACATTGCTTAAATAAGCCATGCTGGGCTTTGGGGATCCTGCGTCCAGATCTGGCAGCTCCAGGGTTCCGGAGTCAGGGCAGGGAGAGCTATGTAAGAAGCTTCTGGAGGGAGCTTCTGCCTCAGCAACACAGGTCTCTTCATTGCTGTTGTGTAGTCCAGTTCCTGCCTCACTATTCTTGTGTTCCACCTGGTTGTCCTGCCCCAAGATACATCTTCCTTGCTCTGTCGCCTTACCAGGTACTGACCTTTGGTTCCTTCGTGGCCATACCCTTGCCTTGCTGCACTAGGCACTCCTGTTTCCTGACTTCAGTTAAGTGTTGCCTGATCAGTGCTTAGTGACAAAGCCCTCTCATTAAATAGGCTGACATTTCATACGAAAGCAATGCATAACCAATTTGGAACACTTCCTCTCCTCCTGCTGTTCAGGAGGTGATTCTTACTGTTTGGCCATTTCCAGTGGTCCTTAGCCTGCTCCTTTCAAGATCCATCAAGTTGGATTCTGGTAGCTTGTCCCTTCTCCGCACTACCATTTCTTTGGAAGCAGGCACTGGGATACTTTCCAAGCGAACAGTGCCATGCCTGGAAGATGAAGAGGAGCCTGGAAGCAATGTTCCTTTCATCCATAAGTTGTGACTGTTTTGGCTTGAGGAATGAAATGAGCTGCACTGACCTGAAAAGCAAACAAAATGGCAGATGGTCAATCCTTTTTAGATAAAAACAGATAGCTGGTCACATTGATGTGGGCACTGAAACAGCTTGTTGTTAGAAGTAGGATGATTTTTCATCTGATGTTGATTTGCCCATCTTCCTTTTTTCTAGCTCTTGTTTCTCTGCTTTGCTTGCCAACTGAGAAGCAATTTTAGAAGTTTACTGAAAGTGCAGGGCACAGGAAGTATCACTTTCAAATCAAGGAAAAGGAAATAATCTGGTTCCTAAAATTCTAACACACAGTGAGCCAGTTTATGCATCCATGGGACAGAATCACTGTTCTCTTCTTGCCCCATGCGTGTAAGGAATTATTTGAGAGAAGCATCACACTTGAGGTGCAACATTTGCACATTAATTGATCCCTCACTTTAAGGATGGAAATTCATAAAACTTGCATTTATTTTATTTTAATTTAATTGGCAGTAGAGCCTGGGACTCCTATGTTAGTCACATTTGGCTGCTCATCCATTGCAAGTTTCATTTTGAACTTTACAGGAGCTCTCCGTGGTGCTGAACTCCATCCCAAAATAGGTGATGCTTGGCAAAGACCCCTTGCCACTCCTTGCCTGGGCCACCGCCAGTGACTGCTGCCCCACCAACATACAAGCAGTGGAGTGGATTGAGTACCGCTGGCTCCATGGAAAACTCATTGTATCAGCAAATGCTACTGCCATTGTGGTAGAGGTTGCTTTGGCTAGTGCAACATTCTTTACATTAGCAATAGCATCATACTGGATGCTGCCTCTTGTATCCAGATATACATCACAATGTGTATGTGCTGGGTACTAACCCAGCAAAAACCCTCTTCACAGCAGCTGCTTGCTAAGCATGGGCCTACCTTGCTAGATAAGCCTTCTAGCATTTTCCAAAGAACCAAATTCTCTCTTTGGGGTCTCAGTACCTTTAAAAAGAATAATAATTTGATCATTTTTCATAAGGTATGTAGAACAACTGTTCCACCACAACTATTGTTGTTGTAAAACAACTAGCCTCGTTGGGGCATTTGGAAATAATCTAAAACTAATTAGGGACCATTGCCCTGACAGCTCTGCCCAAGAAGTGAAAAAGTGGCATACCATCAACTGAGAAGGGGGAATTATTTTTAGTTCCACCAAAAGAGATTTCCAAGGAGTGGTAGTGGTAGACAAACCAAATATCAGACTTGTCCATGAGGTGGTTGTGTCATAAGCTGAAGAAGAATTCAGAATGCAGAATGGCAGAAAAGAAAGAGTCTGAAACTCTTGAGAGTTTTTTTTTAAAGAAAAGGCAAGCAAATTAAGCATTTTGATCCAAAGGTAAGCGACAGCATTTCTGTGTTGAAAAATAAGTGAGTTCTCAGCCAAGACCGCTCCAGATTTTATTAAGAAGATCAAAAGAGAATACCTCCTTTTGAGTCCAAAATTTTCACTACAGCTTTTGTCCTGGTGCCAAGAACGGCATTCACAGGGGAGATCAGAACCACTTCAAAGACCTCGTCGTCTTCGTCTAATCCGTCATAGGTAATTGCTATATTCCACATCTTGGTTGACATTCCTACCAGAAGTAAACATTTTAATTACACTTTAATTGCTTTTTCAATCAACCTAGGTGTCGAAGAAATATATTAACATGTCTACGGCTGCAGCAGACTGGCTTGTATATACTACTGTGTTCCTGCCCACTGATTGGACTCCTGTGGTTTTCCCAAATAACACTAACTAGAGACCAAATTTGTTCCTGAGCAATGAAGATTCCATTCACACCACAACAAAGACCTGCTTTGTTTGTTTGTTTGTTTGTTTGTTTTTGGTCAGGGTGTGTGTGTGTTTGTGCGTGTGTGCATATGGAATAATGGCATGCAGTTCAAGGGTAATGAGTTGCATCTTCATGGAAAAAAAAATCAAGACACTAAGGAAGACCTTTATATCGAAATCTTAATTTCAGACAATCCACTATTGTCATGATCAATGATCCACGACAACTCTGTTTCCCAGGTTCAGACACGGCTGTCAAGTGCCTGATGCAACAACAGTCTCTCAGCCGCATTATCCGTTAGCATCGGATGGGCTCTGAGCAGTGGTAGCTGCCGCACACACCTGTGCCTGAGAAGGGCCATTGAGGACTATGGAGAGAAGCGGCAGAGTTGCCACTAGTAACAAGGCACATTTGGACAGGTTGGTTTGGCCGACACGTCCAAGGAATCTTGAGGGAGGCAAACAAACTTAATTGCCACAGCATTTCACCTGATGCGAAAATTTCAAAGCTAGTTTGGATGTTCTCGCCTGGCCAAAAGATCAGAGGAATTTCAAACGAACCAAGAAAGCCTTTATACGGAGCATCTGAACTTCTCAGGAGGGACCACATTCTGGGAGAGGAGGCTGACAGGCTACAGTTCTGATGTAAACAGAGCAAGAGAACCTCAGCCAACCTGTTCCCCCCCCTCCAATGTTTTGCACTTCAACTCCCATCAGCCCCAGCCAGAATGAGCAATGGACAGGAATCCTGGGATTTGTACTCCAACATACCTGGGGGGCATCGGGCTGGGGATGGTTGGTGCAGGACAATGTTTCCCGCCCCTCTAGGCCCACAAGTTCCACTCTGTGTACAGTTTGGTGTGTGCATTGGCCCAGTTGCTGCTGAACAGCTCTTCTGCCTAGCTGGGCTCTGCAAGGCTGCCATGCTAATGCAAGCGCTCAACACATGGATTGGACCTACCACATGGAAAGGCTTCATGCCCATGCCAGGACTCCAGAAAGGTGCTAAGCAGGCACAGACTTTCCATGCCAAAGAGCAGATTCCTGCGGTGCACCACTTATCTATGTTGTAGCAGCCATATGGACCTCCCACAAGATGGAAGTGGTTCTCAGCAGCTTAATGGACACATTAAAGATGAATTTCCAATGCAGTGTTAGCCTACTGTCTAGGATGGTATAATTTTTAAATGAGCCTAAGCTAAAACTACATTCTGCGGATAATATTCAGTCGGCCACATTGTTGGTTCTGCTGTACTTTCTGGGCTGATCATTACCTCAAAAATTAACACCAGAAATGGCTGTTTCTGAGCCAGGAAATATGAGTGGAGCTCCCTTCTGGGAGCTCTGATGACTTGCCCCCTCATGGAAACGGGTTCCAGCACATTTCCAGTAAGAATGTGATACTACCCCACATATTTAGATACAACTAGGTATATATGTGCCCCATTCTTCAACCCCAAAAGTCTTCCAGAGCAGCTAATAATTAAAAGCAGACAATTCAAACAACCAATCTTTCATATTAAGAGGGAGATATCTTAAAACCACCCAGAGAAGAGGTATATCCTGAAATCTCATAAAACCCAGTGTCAAAACCTAGTTACAAACAGCAACTTAAAAGGCTAGACCAATATAAAGGATATTGCTTGGTAGTGAAAAATCAGCAGACCCAGAGCCAGGTGATCCTGTCACTGACAGGCATCCCAAAGATGGAGAGCCACCACCAAAAAAGCCCTATCCTGGGTCAACAACACTCACTTCAGATGTTGGGGACCTAAAGAAGAGTCTCCAAAGTAGGTCTAAGGAGCCAAGGAGATGTATGTTCCAGAAACAGGCATTAAGATGTGTTGTTCCCAACTTGTACAGAGTTTTACTGGTTAACGTAAGTGACTCTGGATTGTGGGCTGCACAGCACAGTTGTTGCAAAACTGGTGAGACACTTCCTAGCCATCTGACTGCAGTATTTTGTATCAGCTGAAATGTCTGTACAGTTTTCAAAGGTAGACCCATAATAAGGAGTGGTAGTAACCCAATGGGTATTATCAGAGCATGGATAACTAACTATGTGCAAACCATCTCTATCCAAGAGGGCTTCATAGCTGGCATAACAACCTGGGTTGCTTGTCAAAGCAGCTACTTTGACTTCCAAGACAAGGTTGAATCTTCCAACAAGGACAGGGGTGGGGGTTGATCCTCAGGGAGGAATGAAATGCCAAACAAACAAACAAACAAATGGCTGAAACTTACCACCAGCTCAGACCAACAAAAAGTTACCCTGTCTCTGTACCTTGTTTGGCTGCATGGGCTTCAGTTTGTTTTTCTCGGTTAGCCTCTCTGAGTAAAATCACATTTTCAAGTTATACAATTTAAATCAGGACTTACCTGGATCAAACTGAACAAGTTTGGAGGGGGACACAGTAAAATCTTTTCCCGGTGAAGCGGTCACTTCAGTGACCTAAAGTAGAAAATTGTTAGAAAACACTATGTGAAGTTAGGCAAGATGTAACATAACTATTTGCAGAATGGTGGCCTACGGTCTGAATTAAACCTGTGAATCTTCTGGTACTCTCAATTTGCTTTGGCTGATACTTTCAGTTCAAGAAGGGGAGAGGGCAGAATCCTGACCATTAGAAGATGCAATGCAAGTGCTAGTATAAAAGTATCTACCATGGAAGAAACTGAAAAGGGAATCAAATGTCTAAGGCCGACTGTCAGCTTCACTCATACTTACAAGGGATAGAGACCTGTGCTTATTTAAGAAGCACTAATGGGAGGATTACACTTTAAAGCTCTAGCAAGCAACAGCCTTCTCTGAAGTCTGAATGCAGGTTTGGCACATTCCTGAGGAAACAGAGTAGATGTGAACACTGGGGAAACAAGTCAAGTAAAATGCCATGGCAGTGGCAGTGAGATCCATGTCAAAAAATGAAAGACACATCAGCTAGCTTCAGATCTCCACAGTCCAGGGATGGGAAACATGCAGTCTTTGCTCATTATAGGCTCTGTTGCCTTGGACTAATGAAAACAGCAGTCCACCAAAGGCTCACATGCTCCACACCTGTGCATACTCTATGGTTTGGGTCTGAGGGCTCTGGAGTGCAGGAAGTACTGCTCTACTAACTCAACTTCTTCTATTGCTACCACACCTGACCAATCCAGGCTGGCTGCCAATCCCAGGCACTTATGTTACAAACCCCTGTTAAATTCTGCACACGGAGAATTACACAGCCCACTCTCATTAACCAGGTTAGATCCAAGGTCAGGCCCCAGAGGAAAGGTGTGAATGCAAGACAGATGCAATTCTTGGCTTAGCTATATGGAAAAATTGCAACCAAAATGAAAAGAGAAGGCAGGTAGTCACAAAACAAAGCCCCCCTGCCCCCCCCCCCACGATGCTTAAAGTAAAAGAAATTATTTTGTGCTAAGTCATGTTATTATTGGTGGTTTGTTCCCAAAAGTTTTGGCTTCAAGTCAAGCCCTACGTAGGGGCAGACAGGTGTCAGGAAAAGGTAACTATCTTCTTATGAAAGTAAGGATAAAAGGTAAAGTAAATATATGCAGCATAGATGCTTGTCCCCTCAAAATTCCAGGGCGCTGCTCTGTGCGAGTTCTCCTCCAGCTGCACTGTAGCCTCTTCTCTAGCTGACCAGTGCAATACAAGGAAAGAAGAGGCAACCTGTTCCACAAAAGTGGACTGAATGCAGAACGACATTTCCCACAGCACCTCACATGGCTTCTTGTGCAACTCAGCATTTAGCAGGGAAGCCATAGGAAAAGTAGACACATTTTTGAAGCATGGAAGCCTTGGCACTGAGAAGTGCTTAACTCAGCTCTGTACTCCCCTTGAATGCAAATCTCAACATACAATTGCTTTGAGGCGCTAAATTTGAAAAACACGTGGTGTGAACAAGGAAGGAGGAAAAGCAGCAGCTATCTTTTTAATAAAGGCATTCATAGAAGCTTGAGGATCTACAAGACTCCCCCCACCTCATTCACGCCCCAGAAATCTGTGATTCTGTTTTGTGTCACCTGAAAAAGCAAGCATTAGAGAAATCAGGCTGTCTATAGAAAGGCAAAGTTTAAGGCATTCATCTGTAGGGCAAATTATTCACATTTCCCAGAGTTCCTTTTTCTTTATAGCATATGAAATGCAATTAGGCTGCAGTCGTTTACTCACTAAAACCTGTGTGTCCTGCTTCTAAGAGGTCATGGATAGGATTATGCAGTTAAATTAGTAAAGGAGTGCAGAAGCTCTGCACACTGTAACTGTACAAATCAGAATGCTAGTAAAATTGCTACAAGAAAACCGTGCTTTCTTTCCAACCCAGTAGTATTCCTTTACAATAATACTACCTTCACTGCAACAAAAGCAGAATCCATGGTGTGCCCCAGTCGAGTGATTTGCAAAGACAGTGTCCCCACATTTTCACACACTTCATAACTGTCTTGTTGTATTTCAATTTTAGACCATTTCAATTCCAATCTGTTTGGATAGAGAAGAGAAAGAAAATGAGGTATGAGAAAGATCTTAACAGGAATTCCAAAAGGAACCCCACATGGCTGCAAATTAGACACAGATGTAATTTCTTTCTTGTTTGTTGTCTGCACAAACACACTTTTTCTATCAATCTGTCATTGTGTTAAGGAGGAAACTAACCAGGGCTTAATTTGAGCAAAGGCTTACCAGAGCTAAACTTGAATGTGCTTTTATATTTAAGTTCAGTCCTGGAATTGCAATGTATTCACTTAAATAAAAGTGCCTCTGAGCATGCACAGAATGAATTTCCTGTACCAGGGAGTGGTGACAATCCACTCCTATGCTTTTAAGTGTCATTTTGGACATACAAGTTCATACACACAAACACAAATCATTCCAGTTTGCTTGCAAACTTGTATATAACATGGGATCGAGCTAGAATAATTAGAGCTAAGTTACAGAAACAAAGAGCAAACCTGATTAAGATGCAGAGGAGGAGGTCAGGCTGAATTAGGAAGCACCTCATTTCAGTTATTTTGTCCTGTCATGTAAGTGACACAAAAGAGTTCCCCTCTCCCACCCCTTACGAAGGGGTAATTTCACAATGTCTAATAAGCACACAATTCTTGGGAGAGAGAAGAGGAGAACTTTCTAACTGGCTATTCCTACTTGTGTGTTTGTTTATTGCAAAATAGGTCCTGTAGTCCCAATAATCCAGCCATTCCACAGTTACCAAGCAAGAAGTGCTTTCCACATCAGAAAACTGGTGCTAATTGCAATATGGATTAATCTATAGAACTCATGACTTTTGAAAGTCAATTTCAATGATGCTAAGATACACACACACACACACATATATATAAATGGGCAAATGTTCTTCTCTTTAATATAAAAACTCATCACTGAAATCTGGGCTCAAGTTGCTGAACTGCCAATATTTTGCCTGATTAGCTTGATTATTCAAAGAAAGCGATCATTGGTCGTCACGACAGGCTCATCATACAGAACTGTTCATCAGAGTGTCTTGGTCAAACTCTGATATTCATTGTTCAACTTGAACATTCTGTTTTGGTTTGGCTCCCTAATCTGATGTGAAACAACAATGATCTGATGCAGATGGTATGGCACGGATGAAGGAAAACTAGATTCAACTCACCATCAGCCACAAAGCACAATGAATAATGATGTGGCTGTGAGGAAAAAGCAGCAGCAACAAAAAACAGTACATTATTTATGCTGGTTTGAATGCCTTGGAGTAAGGGTAGAGTACAATTATCATAAACAGGGCCTTCCAAAGACATTTAGTTGCCTGAGGTGGACCTTCCCCCATTCTGAATAGAAAAGGTCTGAGAGTTGAATCTTACTTCAACTTTGCCACGCCCCCACTGAGGAATCCTCTTCAGAGGAAGAGCTAAGGCTTGCCAAGATGAGCAGCATCAAAGAGCAGACCATGCCAGAAGACCAGGCAAAATCTGGACCCTGAGGACGATGGTTGCTGGTCCGTCCCCACAGGAGTTGAGGAACTCTGCCTCTGAGACAGACACCTAGCAACCATTCACCTCCCAAACAGGGTGGTGTCTCAAGAGGCAGACCAAGCTGATAAGGAGACATGCCCATATGTAAGGGAAAGCTTCTCATGGGTAAATTATGCCTTGTGAGTAAGCCCTACTCATGAGGAGGACTTGTGGCAGACGCTCCTGATATGCTACAGCTTAGTCGCCTGTGGGCTCTGGAAACACCAGCTTTTATGGCTCAGTCTTAGGCAGGGAGGACTCCTGGAAAGACACCTGTATCTCTTCCATAGCCAAGCCTGCAGGCCTTCCTGTTCTTATACAGGAGTGCCACATATCACTTTTGGCCCGTGCCACTTGTGACCTAAGTGCCGCTGGTTGACTGCTCAGGAACTTAGTATACTATTGTTTATAAAACCACTTGGGTTGCATCCTATGCATTATTAAAATGGAGAAATAAATAGCACCTTCATCCCACATCTAGAATGCATGCAAGATTTCAACAATTCAGTGTAAAATTTCTACCCTTATTCAAAAGCCTGCAAGTTATTTGAGGCTGAATTTAGAGGCATCTAGCGGCCAATTATGGAACTGAAACAATTTACTATGTGCACAAAACCAAGGTAGATGTACTCATGTTTTTCGTTATCCCTCTCCGTTTTCTCCCTCCAGGAGGTTGCCTCAGTGGTACTTAAATAAAACCCAAAGTATTCCTACCTTCTCATATCATTGTTTCAGTATAATTTAGTATCATTTCATTCTACCAAAATAAAATAAAAATAGTGAAAGGGAAAAAAATCCAGCCACACATTGCATAGAATGTTATCTGTATTTTTATATGACTGAAAGTATATTTGTTTTGTAAATATTAGAGATTGTTTTTTTTTAAAATCCAGAAACTGATTTCTTTAGCATATGCCTACAGTTCCTAATGGGTTACTATTGCAAAGGTATAATATAAAACAGTTAAAAGTAGGAAAGAGTCATTGTTAAATAGTGAATCTCCAAAAAAAGAAAATAGAAGCCTGGATGGATATACAACATTGATATATCTTCCACAATAGGGATGCTGCAATTTTAGACAAGCCAGTTACTTCCTAGACATGAAGGTAATGCAGTTCAAAACACAACAGGACTCAAAATATACATTTTTAGTAAATCTGTTTTTATACCTGCTAAAATAAAAATGTAATTTATTTCAGTTTTTGGTACTATCTTGTTCATTTAGAGATCACTGCTACAGAAGTACAATTAGAGGAATGGTTTCAAATATCAATTATACTTCTTTGTTACCTGATGTCTTAACTATTACACTGAAAATTATTCCATATATTTGGGACATATTATCAATCCAGATCTAGAGTGACCTCTAGCTGCCAAAAGGTACATCCAAATGCTTCTTTCCTAATTGTAGCTCAGCAATGGAATTTGCCTTGGTGTTAATTTACAGTAAAATCATTCTTCTGCACACAGGGACACCATTCGTCATTGCCATTATCAATATTATTTCTGCTATATTTCATCATGAGCAAAGTACTTGTCAGCCCTTCTCATGTCCCATGAACACTGTGTGCCTATTATTATAGAGGAGGCTTGATAGACGGGAGCAACTGATGGTATAATCCTGTACAGCAGGAGTGAGGAACATGTGGCCCTCCAGAGGTGGTTGCATCACAACTCCTGTTAGTCTTAGCCAGCATCATCAGTGGTGAGGGATGCTGGTTGTTGCAGTCCAACAACCCCTGGAGGGCCACATGTTCCATGTCCTCACTCCCAAGCAAGTGTGCACAGCATTATCGGCAATGTCTTCCTATGTTCAAATGGGTACACAAATGTGAAAAAAATTGTCTGATGAATGCCAGGCCACAAACCAGTGCAGGTTTTGGTAACTGCTGGATATTTAAGAAACAGACTAGTTTTCTTTTATAGACATTCCAAATGCTACAGACAGCATCCACCTGATTTTTCATCTTTAATCTCAAATTTTGAGGGATCAGAAAAAAGTACACTGTGCATGCTCAAGACCATTCTTCTCATCCTAACTGTAAATGTTGCAGGACTGATTTCCAGCAATAAAAACACGTTCCAGAACTGAACATAGTAGATGACCTGGTTAGATAATTGCCTTATTTATGCTCTCACGTCAGACTGCAACAGGGTTCTCCTGACACAAAAGCATGGGTAACAAGCTACAGTGGACTGTCATGTCATGTGAACCTGAACTATTTCCTAAAGGGTTACTTGTTCATGGGCAATAAGGACTCCTAACAACCTATGGTTTGTTTCAGGGGCTGTTGTACCCAAGAGGTTACAGGGAGTTACAGGCCAAAACATCAGGAGGGCGATAAGTTGCACACCTCTGGAATAATGCCTATGAGGCTGAGGTACGAACCAAGAAGTTCTCAGTTGGTATCTCTCCTCTGCCATGTCTTCATTAGGTGACCTTACAGAAGCCCTTGGCCAGCCCTACATTACAGGGTTGCGTTACGGATTATAACAGGCTAATATATGTGAAGCACTTTGAAAGCAGTATAAAGTATCATTTATCTCAATTATTTATTATGAGACAGCAGAGGAAATAACTCTCCAGTCACCAAGTTTCTTTGCTTTCAGTGATGCCACAATGACTGCTTTTTAAACCTCCATCACCCCTGCTCTGAACCGTCTGCAAACAATTTGACATGAAGAAAGAAACAAGCAACCGGTGCCGTGGACAGTGTAGGGAAGTGTTAACACTCCAAGTTACTTTTGAGGCGTAGCAGAGTTTCCTTCAGGATCAGTAACTTGGATCTCCAGGTTGTCTGAAGTCCCCTCCAAGTAGGGGTCAATGACATAGAGTATTATTTTGCTATTTAGATCCTTCTGGCTGAATTCTTCCTGAATAAATCCACCTAAGGAAATAAGGGAGACATGGACAAACACAACACCCTCAAAATGCTATTAATTACTGGCCAGTTAATTTAGAAATCACTGAGGAAAATGGGGTGGGTTCCCTGCTCCCAAAACCTCATTATGTTCAATTGATGTTATGTTCTTTGGGTATTGGAGGTAACCCTTGTCACATGGTACATCACAGGTTGTTAGGGAAAAGTTGGGGCTAGAGGAGGGGTGCACAAACCACAGGATTATAAACATTGACTGACAATAACTCTCCAGGCTAGCTTCTCCTGCTCTACCTCAAAATACCAGGGGCTGAGCCCGAAACATTCCACATGGATAGCAAGTGCTACATCCTAAACTTTCCCCCCTCCTGTGTGCCCCAGACACCCAAGCCCACATAATTTGTGGTCCTCCAAAAGAAAAGGGCTGTGCTGAACCTTTCAGCAAACCTTCAGCTACCTGCTCTCCTACTGGTTTGAGCCTGAGTGTTTTATGATGGCTCCCTTCCACAGTACCTAAAATCTTCAGATACGTCTCATACACAGGCAGGTACAAAAGTCTTCTTCACTGCCCAGTTCCCACGGCCCATGCCACCATAGTTTTGCAAGTGCTCCACACTGCTGTGGAGGAGGAGGAAAGCAGATTGAAAGGCCTTGCCCTTGTACAGAGCCATGTGACTATTTTTTTTTTTTTTTTGCCATTTAGGAGGTAATTGCAATATGAGACTTGCTTTGAGTGTGCAGAATAGAATAGTGTCATATAATGAGGGTATTGAAAGAATAATTTAATAGCAGGAGCTTGATTTCTTCATACTTCATACAAACTCTATTTCAGCCTGTTTGTTTGGGTCCTTCTTCTGACAACTTTTCTAGCAAAAATGGTCTTGTTCTGTAACAAGCCTAAAGGTAAAGTAAAGGTAAAGGTTTCCCCTTGACATTAAGTCCAGTCATGCCTGACTCTAGGGGGCGGTGCTCATTTCCGTTTGCTAGCCGAGGGAGCCAGCGTTTGTCTGCAGACAGTCTCCGTGGTCATGTGGCCGGCATGACTAAACACCAAAGTGCACAAACCAGTGACCTTTCGATCTACCAGCACAGCAGCACAGCGGTTTAAACCACTGCGCCACCTGCAGTCCCTTAACAGCAAGCCTACTTACTACTAAATGGCATTAGCTCATGGCATGCAAATCATCCTAAGTTTTAAAATGTATTTTTAGTGTAAGCATGTGGGATCTGGGAACAATGTGTATGGGTAGCTGGTATTATGCTACCCCAACACAATCACACCTACAGAGGCTGCAAAAAGACAGAGCGTGCCAATGGAGTTATTGCTTTCTCTTTCTTTCTTTAGCCCCTGCATATGGGTGATGGTGATTTAAGGGGGAAAACAGTGGAGTGGAAGGTGTGTACTGGTTCTGATCCAGATCAGGGCCTTGCAAGGTTACACTAAAGTGGCAAAGCAATTAGAAACAGCTGCACCCCCTACATACAACATGGTCTGTACTTTCATCCTTAGTTAGAGGTACAAGATGCAATTCTACCCAATGTAGGATAGTGTGTGCTATATTAAAAAGATGAAATGGCACAATACCTGTTGTTGTATTTTGCAAGTAACCATACTGAGGGCCTCGTAAAATTTTAAAAATAATCTGATCATCAACTGTATCACAATCTGATGCCTTCAGTGATCGTACAGTAATGTAAATACCATAGTTGCCATTTTTCAGAAGCTCCACATCTGAAGCACAACGAAAGTGAATGATTTCTGGGGCTGATTTTGCTCGCTTGTTCACCTGAGATGAAAAATACCATTATTACTATTACTAAACACTACAATTAATTAGTAGTAAGCTAGATATTGATGATGGGAAGACCCCAGCTTTACCTTGTGAAAGTAAACATTGGACCATCTCAATCAAAACAGAGGAGCTTAATCTCAAAATACGTATAGTGAACTTACGAAAACCAAAGCATGACACATGTATAACCCAATGTGGAGGAAGATGCACTGAAACAAGCCCCTCTAAATGAGAGATGAAGTGCCCCCTTCACATAAGAGTCATGCGAAAGGGAGTGGCACATAAAAGAGAGTTGTGGGAGTGTACATCTAGTCACAGTTCCAGGATGGCACAACGCATGTTCTCAGGCTGATGCATCAGGTATGGAGGTTGGTGGGAAAGCCAGATGGGATCGTATGTGTGTGGGACTTGCCTGAATGATGAACGCCGCAGGCTCTACTTCAACCTTGCCATTCACGATGAAGCCTTGGTTCACTCCATCTGTGACCACAAATGTAAATCTGTCCATCTGAGCATCTCCTCCTCCATGTCGATAGGCAACGTTTCCAGTGTCCACATCATGTTGGCTGAAGCGTTGCTGCCATCGCCCAGACTTGCTGTTGAGAAGTTGGCCATACAGTGGCAGCTGTGCGAGGACAAAGGAAAGGTTTTGTGGAGCCGTGTCCAGGTCTGAAAGCTGCAGCACATCTGGAGTAATGAGTGCCATGCCACCTTCAAATAATGTTAAGCCCTTGTTCTTGACTACTGTGGGTAGAGCTGCATCTACTGTCTCCAAGACGATCTCACACTCTCCTTGTTTAGTTCTTAACCCGTTGCTGATGATGAATCTGGCAAAAAGAGGCAAGGCAGTCTTCAGCATGTGTTCGTGTTTCACCATCTACTGGAATGAAATATAACAGACACCTTTACTAAAGGGCTTGCCTATTCCTTTGCAATACACAACAAGAGCCCATCACTGCTAGAATGGGTTGACCAGTAGCAGACTGAAACTTAGACACAGCATTCAAATGTTTTATGACCAGACCTACCACCATAGGATAGGATGGGATGGGATGGGGTATTTATTTATTTTTGTACTGGCCATTAGATAAAATTCTGGGGGGTTTACAACAGTTCAACAGTATGTAACAGTTTGTTATACCCACAATTCAGTATTCTGTTATTCTTCTTTTTGATTGCACACAGCAAAGTGTTGGGGCAATACTAATTTATTTTAAGCATATACAGTAGATATCATTTTTCAGGTATGCAGCATTAAACCGACTGGGTGAATAAGCGAGGCATCACCTGGTGCCAAAAAGAAAACAAAGTCAGACCCATGCAAGCTTCCCTAAGGAGCAGGTGTTGGAGGCTAGGCACCAACAGAGAAGGCCCCACTGCAAGCCATCACTCTTCAGAGACTGCCTAGGAACTCACAGAAGGGATTCAGGTGAGAACTTTAAAACCTGGGTGAGCTTATATGGGAAGTGGTGGTCTGTGATGTATCCCGGCCCTGTTACAAGTGGAATGTTAGGTTGGGCTTTGAAATGGATGGGGAAACAGTGAAGTCAGCAAGATATGCTCCATCTATTCAGTCCCAGCAAGCAGGAATTTGCTGCAGGCATTTATTTTTCAGTGGCATCACCCATCAGTAGTAGGACTATTAATTAAAGCATTCAGCATGTACTTTACTTTTGCCACACATCATTTCAAATGATCCACTGAAATATTATGTTAACTCCAGATCTTCACATTCCTGCAAGTTGGATGCCATGATGTTGGTCAATGGCCCCTCTCACCCTATACTGTTGATTCTAAGAGGTGCCAGGCCTTCAAGGTCAAAGGTATGGGCCAGCCCAGCAATCTGAGTGCCTTTGAAATGAGCTGAAATCCTAAGTGAGATTTACATTAAGCTACGGCCTTTCGGTTCAGCTACATAAGCAATGAATAGTTGGATCATTTGCTTCACCTTAGCAGTAAAGTAAGCTGAAAGGTCAGTCCTAAAACGCTTGAGGTCAGAAACATTTTGAAACCTTTGAGGTTCCATGCCTGATGTTTAACAACCTTCAGCAATAGGGTTTGTGACCTCCTGGCCAGAGAAACTGCTGATATTCAGGGTACTATCCTAATAAACTTTCACTTCAACTGATGATTAGAAATTGAGGAACTTGTGTGTAGGCATGATGCCATCAAACAGATGGGAACGAGAACAGGCAGGCCAGATACTTTATAGGAGTAAGAAATATAGTTACTGGAGGGCACTACTCCCATCTGGGAACAGTGCAGCAGCTGTCTGCACTGACCTAACAGTTGCGCCAATGGCAAAATGGATGCCCTGTCAACAATTTAGTTATATCAGATCTTCGACTGGAATGAGAAAAAAAGATGTAGCTATCAAAGGACAGTGTGGGGATGTTGGGGTGAAGGAGGAAAGCACTATGGTGGCAAGGTATCCTAGTTTAGAGAGAACAGTTCTAAATCTGAGAGTATCTTCTGTTTGAAGGGCTGTCTAGTTGAAAAATGCAAAAGAGTACAAAGAGAAGGATGGCGCCAGCAGTCTTGACGTTGCCTATCAGCACTTCACAGCTGGACAGCAAACTGAGCAGTCATACTACTGGGCCATAATCTTCACCACCATGATTAGAAGTATTGCTTTCCTATTTATATTGCATTAAATAAATGTGTGAGTATACATTGGCATACAAGCATTTTATACAAATTCATGTTCTCTCTCTCTCTCTCTCTCTCTCTCTCTCTCTCTCTCTCTCTCTCTCTGTGTGTGTGTGTGTGTGTGTGTGTGTGTGAGAGAGAGAGAGAGAGAGAGAGAGAGAGAGAGAGAGAGAGAGAGAGAGAGATGATCTTTGCCATTTCAAGTAATAGGTGAGTAGGTCCTCTAGAAGATATTAGTCAATGGTAGGGCCAAGCTGTCAAATTGCTTTCCTAACCTTAGGCAAAAATTAATTCTACTCACTCCCCAGCTGGAGAAAGTGAACTATACTTTCTCCTGAAAGGGTTTTCTGACTGCAGCTCCTGTTCCTTATTCCAAGCAAGCAAATGGAGTGAATGGAATGGATTTTAACTCCATTTACTTGTCTGGAGTGACCAACAAAAACAGTAGTTGGAAAGGAAAGTTGTACTGTGATTCAGACCACGCTGTTCAACGGCCTGTGAGGTGGATTCTCCCTTGAAGACATCCTCTGCTCTTCTGCTTCCTTTGATAATTTCTTGTACTGCTTATTGAAATGGGCCAGCTCTGGTCAAGGGTGCAAAAATATTAATGCTAAGTAATTATTAGATTCCCACTTTGGAAAAGCCCATGGAGACATCAGTCTGAACCCTAACTAGGCAAGAGCAATTCAGCAAACAGCTCAGGACATGAAGATAGATAGTCTGTGCTTTAACTTTCAGAGGAAGACTCATCATTACCATGCAAATGGTGTGCTTTGCTAGGTTCCTCCAGACAATGAGGTTGTTATTTTAAGGACATACCATGCTCCTATGCTCCAGCATGCTGTTTATTTCATGCTTAGCTCGGCTCCATGTTTCCCCAGGAATGGAAAGCAGCCAACATTCTCATCTCTCTGATGAAATGTGAGGGGACAACACTCAAGCTTAGTCAGGAGGGCAAGTCACATGGCCTGATTTCACCATTACCAAGGTTTTCATGCTTTTTGCAGTTCATGGCAATAGAGCTGGCTGCAGAACTTACCATCTGTCATGGCATTTAAAATATAAAAATGGAATCAGAAATTGCGCCAGCTCATTACAAAACTGATCCACCATGTCAAAATGGAAGACATTAGCATGTTCTTTTAGCATCCTGCTGCCAGCGTCTGATGTCAGATTGTTAATCACTTGAAATCATCTGTCCAAAGCAAGCAGTGCCAAATCCCTCTTCCAGGCCAGCGGCATCAAACAATGCTGGGAGGTTTATGATGGAATAAAGTGCCTTAACGCACGGTAAAAATCTGATCATTTAAACCCCCCATTTAATTAAATGTCACCAGCCCTTGGTGTTTTATTTTTTAATAATCTGCCACAGTATTTATATCTCAGTGTATAACCAAATACTTTGCCAAATACTAACAGCCAGGAACATCATTCACAATGATTAAAACAGACACATATATCTTCGTTTCATTAAAATACCCTGACAATGAGTGTCTGGCCTGGGCGTAAGGCACTGAGCACATCTACATGCAATGTCACAGCATTTAACTTCAGGTATGTGTATCTCTAGCTCAGGTATGTGCACATTAGTACTCAAAGTGGTATCTCTAGCTGAACGTGAACACACATACATTCTTAGATAAAGGGGTACAAAAACTTGTTGTACGTTCTCTATCTGGCTTTTAACAAGCTTACTAATCAATTAAAAAGAGAATATCACAGATGAGGAGAGCAAATTGATACCGAACTGTCAATAGATACAGATTTGTTTTATTAATTAGCCATCCTGCTTTTTAACCAGCCAATCAGCAAGTTAAGGGATTCCAATTGTGTTAAAGTATCTCACTAGAATAACTGAACTGAAAATACCTCTCAGAACAACATGGAATATAAATTTAATATTGCAGAAGAACCATCTTAACTGTGTCACCTGAATCAAGATGAGTATCTTTCAACAGGAGTCATTTCAGATTTAAAAACCAAACTTCTACTTTTCCGACATTCAAGCTCGGTTAAGAGGGAAAGATACACTGTCTGATTCCACCACTATCAAGGTTTCCATGCTTTTCCATGAAATAGGAAAATAATAACACAACCCTATTCCTTGGAAGTAAAGAGGCTTCATGCTTGGACCTGCTTCTAAGTTCAGAGCTGAAATGTCAAATGAGCTCCTGTACTATTAATATCATTGACTTTGCCTTCTCCTGTGCCCATCTGCAAAGCAGATGTAACATTGGCTTGACTTCTATATGTTCCCTTTAAATGGCTGATGCCAGGGTATGCCGTTCAGACACAGAACATTGTCCCCAGCATGAGAGTAAGTGTTGTTCTGACAATGACATATTATTAACATGCTCTGTGTTGGGCTGCCTTTTAAAACTGTTCAGAACCTTCAGCTGTTCCAGAATGCTGCTGCTGATCAGGGCTGGTTCCGGGAAGCACACAACTCCTTTGTTTACAACAGCTTAACAGGCTGCCTGTTTGTTTTGGTCCTGCATGCTCTCTACAATGAGTTTAAGTCTCCATCCAGAAAAGTAGTTTTCCTGCCTAGAACACCTTATCTGCATTAGTGAATCTCACCTTGTTTCTCCTCCTCTTGAAAAATAATACCCAATGGGATCAATGAAGCCATAATTTTAATCAGTGCTTTTAGGAGAGGATTAAAATGTCAACACACAATCCACCAATGCTGCACATTCCTGTCATTGACAACAGTATACCTTAAACCACACCAGAATGTCAACTATGACCTATAGATGGTGGTGAACCATCCAATCACCCATACCATCCTTACCTTAGTTCAACCAAAGATCTTGTGTGCCGTGCCAAAAGGACAGTAATGTACCAACATTTACCATTTAAATATTGACGATACCTTCTTTTCCCATTGTTCGATCAATTTTGCTGCTAAATTAATAAGTAAAACATGGGTTCTTCATTGCTTACCTGAACTTATCTTTGGGAGAAGTTGCCTTGCTATGGTGGACATAGCAAACCACCTGGCTTGCCACATCCATTTGGCTGAAACTTGTAATGGCAGCTCCAGGATAGCTGACATACTCAATCTGTCCATACTGAGGTGGGGAAGTTATCACATAGAGGAGCTCCTCAGGTTTTTCAGTGCCATCAATTGCAAGAAGGATGTCAGTTGTCAAGAGGCCTCGGTCACCATTCAACACAGTGAGGGGCTTCATAAAAACAGCAATGTTTCCTACAGGATACGTCAGACACAGCACAAAATTATTAATAATATTCTCTAAGTCTTTCCTAACATTCTTTCCACTTCTGGACAGCTAAATGTTTGCATCTTATGCTTATAATGCATGGCTTTAAATAGGAAATTCATGATGTTATTTTTAAAAAAGTGATCTGCATTCTTTATCCTCATGCTAGGAACAATGGGCAGGACACACAAGGATCCACCTGACACACAACAAAAGAATCAACCAAACAATAATTAAAGAAACATGGGATGTTTGGGAGTGCAAGGGGATGAATGAGCATGCAGGATCCTGCCCTCTTGCCTGCTTCCACTGCACTATCCACTGCACTGCGCCCAGAGATATCCAGTCCCTCAGTTGTTCTCCATGGCACGTGAATCCAGAACTGTGGACTGTTGTGGGAGACACAACCCAGAATCTGAACCCATGGTTTAGTCATGTCTGTACATAGGATGGGGGCTAGCAACCATCAGTATGGCCATGACTGCACTTTTCTCATCAGTTGCTGTGATGGCAAGAGTTTCCAGTTCTGCACAATCTGGAGGCACATACAAAATCATGTGGAGAAGTTCACTAGTATGAACCAATGGTTAGAATGAAGAAATACAGTGAACATACAATCAAAAATAGAATTACCCTTTTCCATATCCTTAATTGTAATAGGGAAAATCACATCTGGAGATCTATTGTTCCCATCCCACAAATGAAACACAAAACTGTCTTGTCCCGTCGAGCCAAGCGATCCAGTGTGTAAATATCTCAGAGAGTTCATATCTATGTGGTCCTGGGTACACTTCATCCCATTATGAAGTGTCACCCAGTCGTGGTCTACCTAGAAAAAAAAAAAGCACTAAATACATGAAATTCCATTTATAATTCAGAAGTTTTTTCTTGTGCTTGTTTGTTCGTTTGTTACAAGTCAACATCAATAACCCTTAAAGAAGGTGCTGAAGGCAAGAAGCAGCACATGGTGGAAAATATGTGCAATGTGAGCCTACCTATATATGTCGCACCCTGCCCATCGGTAATTGAGTAGGAACCTTTGGCACCAGCTGAAGCCTCTGAGCCATCATCCATGGCAGCCCAATGTAGAGCATATCATAGTATTGCAGTCTTGGGGATACTAAGGCACGGGTCCTGGTGGCCAGGTTCTCTTGTGTCCAGAAAGGCCATCGCTGGTGAACCAGCCTGAGCTAAGCAGATGCATCCTATCTATTGTGACGACTTGGTCTTCCTGTGACGACTGTGTCTAGGAGCTATGCACCTCCTGCTTAATGAAGAGGGCAGCCCTACGCAGCATATCCTTTCTACTCAATTCCTTGACTTGGGAACTGACTCTTAACAGCACCTTCATCTTGTCAGTGACCCTTATGCTGTCCATTGACCCTTATGCAACCCATTACTGCTTCCAGACACTAGTCCAGCTCCTACAGTGTTTCTCCTGAAATGGAAGGCAGAGATAGGTCTGCACGTCATCTTCCTACTGATGAGACCTCATCCCAGCACTCCAAATGACTTCCTAGAGCATATTCACATAGCTATTAAGGAGCATGCGGAACTTGGTGGAACTCTGCAGTGCAAGCAGCACAGGTCCAGTCAGATGTTTACCCATGCTGCTCTTGAAAACTGGTTCTCCAGGAAGGTGAGGAAGCTTCATAGCACAATGCCCGCAACTCCCACCTCATGCAGCTGCTTCAAGGGGATACTATAGTTGATAGTAACAAAAGCTACTAAGAATTCTAGCAGAATCAAACAGGTTGTTCTCTCTCCTTCTCTCCATCTGGTACTAGTCATCCACCAGGATAATCAAAGCAGTTTCAGTGCCAAGGCCAGACTGAAAGGGGCCCAAAAAAATAACTCCACTCAAATAAATCTAAAGATGATCCACTACCATTTACTCCATCAATTTGCCCCCGGATGTGTTCTCTGTTCATAGCCTTTACTCATTATAGGCATATCAAATATGTGAATCCAAGAACACAAGCAGTGATGCATATTAAGCACACAGAGAATAAAAAGAATATTGTGGTATATCTCCAGGACAAATGCTTTCTCACTCTTTCCCCCTCACACACACATACACACATGCCCGTGCGCACACACACACACACTTCTCCTGACTGAACTCTGATGACAAACATTCCTCTAATGCAAACAGGACATCCACCACTGGTTTGTTCCAAGGATCAGGATGGAAATTATCTTAGCCACTGCAGTGTGTTTCAAGCCCATGAGAGGCATTTGAGAAACAGAAGGATTATGCTCACTCAATTCTAACTCAAGAAGGCTGAGATCTCCATTTCCAATATTTTATTTTGTTTTGTTGAAATACAAATACTGACCTTGAGCTGGAGATGTCCATTTTCTGGGATTCTCTGAAATAAATAATAAATTTGTTCCCTAGGGGTGTCTTTATCTTCAGCTGACAGAACAGCACTAGAAATAATTTTGGCTTCCCCCATAGTCACCTCTATCTTACCCTTCCTGCAACAAACAAACAAACAAACAAACAAAGAACTGCTGGTGCTGTTGGTTAATAGAGAATAATCACCAAGATAATGGCATGAAAAGTTACTAAAAGAACACACCCCCACTTTCTCACACACACACACACTCACTCTTCAAATCCAGGCAAGTAAGGCTTCATTTTTATAATACAGGTGAGACCCAAAAATAAAACTGAGATTTTAAATTATGGACCAATTCATGTACAGCAGCATAAGGAATAACGGAAGAACACAGACTCCTTCTCCCTTTCTTCCCTAGTGCGTTGTGTGGGATTCTCGTGGGAGCTAAGAAGGATATGCTTTTGGTTCCGCTAGGTCCTTTTCTAGAAAGTCAGCATTTATCCACATGTACCTGCTTTTGACTAAGAGAGGGGCTTGATGCTACATTTCCCCTTCTTTCTCTCACACAGCAAATAGGCAGTATAAATACGCACAATTCAGCTGTGAGTACTAGTGAAAGCTGGACTGCGAGGAAAGCTGAGCGGAAAAAATAGATGTGTCAAAAGTTCACATTAAGGGAGAACTTTATGAAAACCTTGGACAAGCCAAAAGACAAATAGGTTGGTCCTAGAACAAATCAATCCAGAACTTTCCCTGGAAGCGAAAATGACAAAATTGAAGCTGTCATACTTTAGGCACATAGGATGAGTGAGATGGCAAGAATCACTGGAGAAAGACAATCAGGCTAGGGAAAGTTGAAGGCAGATGATGATGATGAGGAGATGGATTCCTCCATAAAGGAAACCACAGTCTTGAATTTACAAGAGCTGAGGGGGCTTTGACGGGCTTTCATTCATAGGTCTCCATATGCTGGAGACAACTTCAATGGCACGTCGCAACAAACTAATTGGGTATAAGTTTCCTTGTTTCTGATTAAAAATGCAGAGCATCAGGCTATTGTTGGCATGGAATATCGCATAGTGGGCAGTTTCATCACATTCAAGTCTGCCTTATCATGTGCAGGATTGCACCCAAAGGTAAGAGAGAGCCACATTAGCTTATTGCAGCATGTTGGTGGAAAGGGAGCCGGCATGTGAACAGGGTCATCTGGCCGTGTGCTTATAGGTAGCCTAAGAGATGCACCAGCAGCTGACGCTTTTCCAGACATGGATATAAGTAGTGGGGAAAGAACTTGGCCTATTTAATTTCTGTGTTAAAGACACAAGGGCAGAGGCAGTGAGAGGAGAGCACCCCACATATTACTGTGTGGTGGGGCAACTCCTTGGGGTTCATGAGGCCCCAGTGCCCATTCCCAGAATCTACTGGAGGCTATGTCCCTATTGCTGCTGTTGAAATTGCCATAGGTACCCTCAAATCTGCTGCTACTACAACTGTTCCCTGAAATTTTGCAAACAAGTATAAACCTTGCCTACAAGAACAACTACGTACCACAACCTGGCATCTTTAGCATTCAGAGAACCTGCTCTACCATTTATGGACTAGAACTCTCCTCCATAAATGCCCTTTTGATAAAACAGATCACAAAGATAGGGTTTTTTTCCTTTCTATCCCACCTAGGAATGGTGAATGGTGAAAGCTCCAGGGACTTCTCTACAGGAAGTGTTTAACCGGTGCTTCATGGAGGCTTCTTTTTCCATTTTCTTTGTGGGAGAAAGAGAGTGTCCTATACCCATAGGTTTTTCCTCCAGGGTTTTGGTTTTGCTAAATTACACAAGCCTTTATTCCAGTTTGTTGCACCTTTAAAATTTAATATCTCACTTATCCATGCTCATTTTAAAAAGCTGCAAAATGGCTGTAAAATGTGGGGTCCTTCAAGAATGGAAATGTCATGTTAAGGACCCACCAACTTCCACGAGTGAAGGGCTATGAACACACAAAATGCCTTGTATTAAGAAGTCCAAAGTATGATTCCCCCTCTGGCAAACTCAAATCGGCTGCCCTTCAGCTTGGGCCAGTTTTTTAAAAAGGTGCCCATGTGTAGGGCTATCTAAATTCTGTTAAATCCATTCCATCTGTGTTTTGCAGAATGGCACGAGTCCTTCATACCATCCTCTACTCATCATTGAAATGGGACCTGAGGGACAGGACATACGACGTTCATTTTACTTGCAGAGCTGCACATTAATGCAAGTAGACAGTTGCGCAAATCATTCTTCAAAAGAAGAAAACCAGTCTGCAACTCTGCCAAATCCATACAATGCAGGAGAAACTGTTTTTCTGCAGAATTTGCAGGTCAGGTTCATAGAAATCCAGATTCAACGGAATCCATTGTGGATTTCCCTAACAGTTCTACTTCTCAGCCACCTGCTGTCTTTTGCGACAGATCTCCTGTTACTCTCCCTAAGAGGAAACCTTACCTCAGAGCAGGAGGACAGAAGGCAGCAGGGTGCCCCTTTCAAAGGCAGAAGGGGCTGTGTGCTAGTCGGCAACCTAGGGAAGGTCTTACAACACCTGTCCTGCGTGGAGGCGGGTCTTCTGTTGCCCCTTCTCCATGGTGCATAGCAGCAACAGTTTTGGTTACTGGCTTGGGAAATGTGGGCTGTGGAGGTACTTGCAAGAAAAGGGGGGATTACAGGGACGTCTTTTTAATAGTGTTTGCACTTAATGCACAAAAAAGAAATCCACAAGGCTTTTCAGCACACACCTGGAACACTCAAAAAGCCAAATTCATTCAATGTTGAGGCTAGTAATGGGGAGGCCAAACATCCCTACTCCCAAGTCCCCCCATCCCCATCACTCGATCTTCCCGTTTTTTGTATTACTAACTTCCATTAGTGATTATGGCAATTTCCACCATTCATTCTGCAAAGAGACCATTTGTGGAAAAATGCTGTTTGGGAGGTTTTTAGTCTGTATTTTCTGTACAGTTAGTGACCCTTTATTGCAATTAAGTTGTAAAATATCTAGTCTAGATGGCACAAGAAATAGTTCTCATCTGCTTTGGTGCTGATAGCAAAATGCAACAGGGAAAAAGTCTGCTTCCAAGTATGGAATGACCAGCAGAGGGTGTGCAAAGATCGTGGTTGCATTGAAATCACTTTCCAAAAGAAGTCCAGATTGTGTACTTGTTGAATGTGTACATAATATTTGCATACGTGTATATAAGTTGAATATATGCATACAAGATGCATAGCTATGTTCACTGTCATTTCTGATTCAGATCTGGCTAGTTTGCTCATAACAGACTGTCATCTTGTGATACATTGTACGGCATTGTGGTTATTTACGCAAGACAAGCTCTATAAATCACTAATTTGCTGTTTCAATCACTGCCGAATCGTCTTGTCAGATCACATCTACCAATTTGGAACAGGAACATGTGGCTTACTTGCTCAGCACTGGTTTCTCATCATTAACTGGAATGACCTCTACTGAAATGGTTTTCGACACTTTATGTTTCCCATCTGATAGCAGGATTGAAAAACCATCAGCTAGGCTGTCGGAGTCATCATGCATATACATCAGCCTCATTCCTAGAAGGTGAGGTGAAGGGGATGGTAACGAGAGAGAGAGAAAGAGAGAGAGAGAGAGAGAGAGAGGGTGGGAGGGGGGAATGAATCCGGTTTTCTCAAAATTGCTTTCATGGCATCTCCCTCCGTTTCTGTAGTCCCTCCGACCCTCCACATTTCTGCTGGTCACCACCACGGTGTTTCAACTGGAATGGGATAAGCCTTAGAAGATCAGCTCTTTATTAATCCTTCAGCACCCCATTGTCTCAAGAACATGCTTGTGGCCTGCTCGAGTCATAAAGCTCCTTTCTAAACAATCTGCTTGGTTCCAAAGAGTGGACTTCTATTTGCCTCCCATCCCTCTTAACATTAAAATGTGCAGCTTCTGTAATTAACACTCTTACAAATAATTGCCATAGTTCTGATTCTCTCATGCTACTTATTGAAAGATTGGGAGGAGTTCCCAGGTAGATGTGTCCAACTTGGCAGGGACTTCTGATGTTATCTATCTGGTGCAACACTGGAAGTGGCTGCCATCCAATGGGGGGGGGGGTGATATCCATGACATCATAGAACTTAGTGGTCCTTACTTCAGGGTAAACTGAAGGAGCAGGATGGCAGCTTGATAAGCAAATGGTCAAGTATCATCTAATTGGGTTGAATGAGTTCAAACCTCCAGGGCTCAATGAACTACATCCTAGTCATAAAGAAGCCAGTGGAAGAACTTTCAGAACCTCTGTCTATTATTTTGAAAAAATCGTGGAGGACAGGGGAAGTGCCAGATGACTAGAGAAAGGCTAAAGCTGTCCTGATGTTTGTGTGTTTAAACCTTTTGTTAAATTTAAACTTTTGTTAACTGCCTAGATAGCCATAGCTATAGGGCAGTATATACATGAATGGTGCTCTTGATAGGTTGGTGCACAGAACAACATAATGAAGTTCAATAGGAACAAATGCCAAGCTCTGCACCTAGGAAAAAGAAACCAGTTGCATCATTACTATATCCAAAATACTTGGCTCAGCAATATAGCAAGTGAGAAGGATCTTGGAATTTTTGTAGATCACAAGCTGAATATGAGTCAATGCTGTGCTGCGACTACAAAATGGACAAATGCTATTTTAGGCTACATTTAATAGAAGTATCACTTCCAAATCCCATGAAATACTAGTTCCCCTTTACTCAGCACTGGTTAGGTCTCATCTGGAGTACTGTGTCCATTTCTGGGCACCACAGTTCAAGAAAGATGCAGACAAGCTGGAGAGGGTTCACAAGAGGGCAACAAGGATAATCCAGGGGCTGGAAACAAAGCCCTGTGAGGAGGAATTGAAATAACTGGAGATGTTTAGCCTGAAGAAGAGAAGACTGAGGGGTGATATGATAGCATGCTACAGGTACTTGAAAGAGGACAAAGAAGAAGTACACAATCTCTTCTTGATCATCAGAATAATGGGTTTAAGTTACAGGAAGTCAGATTCTGGCTAGATTTTAGGAAAAATTTCCTGACAGAGCAGTATGATAACAGAACCAATTAGTCTAGGATGTTGTGGGCTCTCCCACACTAGAGGCATTCAAGATGCACTGGGCAGCTATCTGAGAGGGATAATTTAACTTGAGAACCCTACACTGAACAGGGGTTGGACCTGATGGCCCTTTGGCCCATCCAACTCCATGGGTCTATGAACCTACATGACATTATACAATGAGCCCTGCTGGATCAGAAAAAAGACCCCACAATATACATTTCCTATAAAAGCTGACTAGATTCCTTTGGGAAGCCCAGAATCAACACATGAGTCTTCACATTCTACTTCTGTTGTACTGCTGGTGCCTCTGAAACCGTAGGCCACACATAACCCTCATGACTAAATGCCAATAATAGCCTGATATTCCATTAAATTCTCTAATTCCCTCCTAAAATCATCCAAACTAGTGGTTCATCACAACTTGTCATGGCAGAAAATGTCACACGTTATGTTCTTAAGCTCCTCCCATTCAGTATCATTGGATGGCCTTGTGCTATAGCATTATAAGTGAGATAGAAGAACCTGTCTATTCACTTTCTCCATGTTCTCCATAATTTTATAGCCCTTCTTCATGTGCCTATCCCAGGCACTTATTACTTAAATTCCCCAAATTTTTTAGCCTTGCAAGGGGGGTATTCAGTCCCAAATCCCTTTTGCTCATAGTTAACTCCATTTAAACAGCTAGAAAATGCACAAGTCAATTTACAATGCAACCATCATTTAGGTTTTTTTATTATGATATTTTTATACTGTCATAAAATAATTTATATAAGCTGCCTCATCAGGAAATGTTCTAAAAGGTGGAACATAAATTTAAATTCTATGCACATTTACTCAGCAATATTCCTAGGAAAGTGTGTCTAGACATATGCGATGCATCCTTACTTAGAAAAACCCCTACTAAATCAGACAAGACTTACTCACACTCTTGTGCATAGTATTACAGTTTTAATCTGCTATTCCCAAGCAGATAAATAAGGCAGCCTCTGAATCAGGTTGAGAAATAAAAATAGTTCTTATTGTTGCACTATCTGGCAGTAATTGATCCACAGAAGAAACAGTCCAGTAGAAGGCAGAGGGACACTTACCATTTTTCAAAAGCTCCATGGAGAATTCATGCACAGGAAGTTCATGATGCTGGTGGCCATTCATTGCTTGTTTGTAGCGGACAATATTATTGCCATACATCCCATTAACAAGGAGTCCATGTCGGGGTTGTTGCACAACAGTAAATATCAACATATCTTGTGGTACATCCAGATCAACAGCGTTGATTACAGATGGATCCAGTTCTTTCATCTGGCCCTCTTGCACCTGAATAGCCGAAGGAAGGGAAATGCTGATTATTTGCAGAACAGGATGATATGAACTGGCATTCCCACCCTAAAGCAGCCCATCCAATAAATACTCACTGATAAATAGTTGCAAATTGATTTGCATCAATTTGTGATGCAAAAGTCTCTCTTCCCACTTTTAAGGAACATTACAAGAGCCTGAATTACTGGCCAAAAAGCAGGTATCCCGGGTGCTGCCATTACAAGGGATCACAAATAAACCAGCTTCTTGACAGTTTGCTTGCACCTGCAGACAACAGCTGGTGAAGGTCCATGAACTAACACACACAAGCCAAGGCTTCAGGCCCGCTTGGGGATTCCAATCCAGCCATCTTGGGTGCCCCCCAAAAAATGTGGCCTTCCTCTGGCCCCATCCCTTTCTCCAAAGGGCGTTTGGTGATTTCCCAGCTTTTGTGTGTATATTCCCTATTCTAGAAGGTTTGGTTACTGCTAGTAAGAACTTTGGGATTAAATAAACTGGAATAGCTCTCATTCTGGCTCCACCCCCTTTTGCTTTTGGCCTCCCCCACCACTAGAATGAAGATCCTTAGAGCTTCTCTAAAATGGAATTCAGTGCTCAGGCTGAAAGTAGTTCTACACCCCTTCTATAAGCTCTTCCCGCTTGTCTTAAGGCCCAGCCCTATCTTTTACAAATGCAGACAGAAATTATGCAGTGCTTACCTGAGAGAAATTAAGAAAATGTGGTAAACAACTCCAACCTCTGTGTGTGTGTTTGTGTGTGTGTGTGTGTGTGTGTGTGTGAAAAGACTACAGTTTGAGAAAATGACTGAAACAGGTAAAAGGAAGATAAAAGTTAGCAAAGGTGGACAGAAGAATGAGAAAGACAGTTAAAAAGTGGAAAAATGGGAAGCAAGCCAAGGCGAGATGCTGAACAAGAAAACAACATATAGATGCTATTGATGATGTTTGTGGGGGGGTGCACAAATGCAGGAGGGGCTGATGGGATGGGATGCTTTGCCAGGTTTGAAGGGCCGTCAAAGCAGGCCCAAGCTCTTGTCACTGGCCCTTCCCTTCCCTTCCCTTCCCTTCCCTTCCCAGAGAGGGGGCAAATATAATTGCCACTTGGCCTTCTTGGGAATGGGAGAGGAGCACAGCAGAGGAGGGGAGGTCAGACCCTCATGTGCAAGGGGCGGAAGGTGATGGGAGGTGGAGGCAGAGGACAAGGACGTGGTGAGGCCTGCAACAAGACCAGAGGCCCAAGACAGACATTCAGGACACAGTCCTATGGTGATGGCTGTAAGCCACCACACTTGGAGGCTTACAGGCATCCTACACAGAGTAGGAAGATGATGGAAGGGGATCTTTGCCTCACCGTCCTCCTACCTTGCATATTTTGTTAGATGGGCACTTCAGAGGCTGAGGTAAAGAGGCTGGAGCTGCTTCAGAGCCCTCATTTCCCAGCCTCCAGTCTCCTGCCCTCACGTTGCCTCCCTCCAAAACACCTCCTTTCTAAGGTTGCTTTCCTGACCGTGCAGAATAGCCTGCATGGTTCCCTCCACACTGGCTGTGTGGGGCAGGGCAGTCAGTGCTCCAATTCTCAGCTCCAAAAGCTGGGCATCCAAAACACCCTGTGGCCCCTGCAACACCATCTAGGGCTATAGGACTGTTCACTCCAAACAGTTGTGTAGTACACAGGTTTCCTTGAACTTGGTTGAATGAACAAGCATGCAAGATGAAAGGTATTGGGTTATTCTGGGGGAGAAATACAGGGTAGAGAGCAGCTGTGTTGTATTTTAGCAGACTCTGTATTTCCTTCCTTACTGTAATATTCCTTGCTATGAATTCTGGGACTTCATCATTTGCTGGGTTGATTAAGATATAAAATGGTGTCTCCATTGAACGACGTTTCCCATCAGTGGCATACAGCATAAATTGGTCTGTGGTTGGTTCAGTCCTCTTGTGCCTGCTCTGGACGTAGTTTATGTGCAGGGCCTTCACATTTTTTAACTGAAATGAGGCTAGACATTTGAAAAAAATGACAAGTTACCAGAAATCCATGTTTTGTTTTCTCAGCTAACACTGCTATAAGCTAATAGTGTATACATTTGCTTCATTAAAGCTGTCACAGAAAAGCAAAATTATCTATGCTAAAATGCATCTGACACATTTACGCAAGTGTGAGTTGATAGTGTGTCCGGGCCTAGGTATTTACTAGAGGTACAGCAAACCCTTCCAAATCCAGCGCCAGTTCTAATGATGGATGGATGCAGGAAGCTACCTGCATAAATCAGAGGGACCCTATTGTTAAGAGTCTGTCAGCTGCTATTTTATAACAACAACAGTGGTAATAAGAATTATCTCCCTAAGCTCACAGACAATTCTCTCCAGTGGTTGCATCAGATGGTTTTGATTCCACTAGCACAAACCTTCTACTGCATACAGAAACCCCATTTCCTCTGCACTTTCAATGGGCTTGCTGTTTGCACAAGTTCTGCCTGCCCTTGTGCAACCACTAATGGAATCCAACTCTTGTCATTTTTCCAGTAGCATAACATTGGGTATAACCATAGGCAATTTACAGATTAAAAGAAAATACAATACATTAAACTCCACAATCAAAACTAGCACAGATTACAACTTCAACAAATATATCAAGCTTGTTGAACCTCTGAGGATCAAACTCCATTTTGCCCTAAATCTCATGGGCAACATTCCAGTGATGGGCAGGACTGAATGCAAAAAGGCAGGAAAAAAACTACTAAAAATATATTTTAATGTTAAGGATTTGCAGTCAGTAACTAAGCCTTAGGAGAGATGTATTAACATTTTAGAGTAGAGAAAAGCTGCACCAAAAAAAAGGAGGGGGGTGATTGATGGGTGGTAGAAAAAGCAGAGACAAGGGAAGGGGGTCTGGCCTTCTGGGGGACCCCTGGAGGGGGACTCAGTACTGAGGTTCTGCACTGCTGGAGCTACATACAAGCCTAATGTTCTAAAATGCACCATAGATGACTAAGAAGTGACAACATTCTTGGCTTTAAAGACGAGTTGCTCTTCACCATCACACCCACATACCTATACTTATTCCCATGTTGCTTTTCTCAAAGCCAGGAGAAGGCAATATATTTTCTATGTACCCAAACTGGGGAGGAGAAGCTAAAATAAACTCTAAGTTGTCCGCTTCGGTGTCTGGATCAGTAGCATACAGATGGTTAACTGTAATGGCAGCTGAGGAGCCTTCGTCCACAACAAACATGGCACCTGCAAGCAAATGGTACAATGAACAGAGCTACAGCAGCGTCTTGAATTGCAGGGATATTTCATGCTCGAGGCAGGCAGTGGAGAGCTGGCCGGAAAAGCCATAATTTCAACCATTTGGCCTGTTTGTTTGCCAGTCACACCAAGGACTCTTTTGTCACCAAGTGAGCAAAGGGTGGGGGTGGGGGGAACACTTTCAAAACAATTTTGGCGATAAGCTATTAAGTATGGTTGATGTGCTGCTCAAGATCGGTTGTTACCTCTGTTTGTCACAGCATTAATTGCCTGAGAGCTGTTATGAATTCCTCATAATGAACCATTTTTTATGCATCAGTGCTTAATTTCCCTGCTGGGACAATGCTTCATTTCCAGAACATTGGTTGGGTGATAGACAGCAAATCACAAACTTACTCATACATACATTTTTGAAAAGCGGTGAACATGCATACAATACTGGCAAAATAGCTTTGTCTTGTGTAATGGCAGCCAGTTGTAAAGAAATGTTTATTAGAACTGCGACGCTACAGAGTGGGCACGATGCCTGGCTGAGGAAAATGTAGTTCAGGCATTCAAGAATCACGGCCCATGTGGGTCTGACCCACAAGAGGTCCCATGTTCTTTAGCAGCCATGTTTCATTATGGGATATCCACTTAACTTTCTTTCTGAAACACTTTAAAAAGTCAAGCCTATGGTTTTTGCAATCTTTGTATAGTGCCCAGAAACATTAAGTGCTTTTAAAGTAATTACTTAAAATGAATAGTTCAGCATTGTCCTAACAGATCATACAGTATAATCCTAATCATTCATCAGTTTCCTTTTCTTTAAAAGAAACCCTGCTTTAAAGTTATCCTAAATTAGTGTTAATTTCCTTATCTTTAGCCTGCTGTATGAATGGAACAGGACAAAGTACAGTAAAACCTTGGATTGTGAGTAACTTGGTCTGCGAGTGTTTGCAAGATGAGCAAAGAGTTTTTCTAAAATTTAACTTAATAAACAAGCAATGTCTTGCAGTACAATTAATACCCTTGCCTCCCCCCTGAGCATGCCTTCAAATTTTTGTGATTAAAAAAAAGTTACAGAACAGATTACGATATTTTTCCGTGTATAAAATGCTACTTTTTCTTTAAAACTTTTAGCTAAAAATGGAGGTGCATCTTATAAACGGGGGGCATGCTCGGGAAGGGGGGAGACTGGCACAGTAGCGCACACGGGGGCAAAGGTGTGCAGGGGGGGTGGCAAAGTGGTGCGGGGGGGCAGCAGCCTGCTCGCTGCAAATCGTTAGGAAAAGTGGGGGGGGGCGTCCTCTACATGGGGGCGTGTTATAGACGGAAAAATACAGTAACCTTATTTACATTGAACCTTATGGGGCAATTCGCTCTGATATACAAGTGCTTTGGATTACAAGCATGTTTCTGGAACGAATTACGCTCGCAATCCAAGGTTTTACTGTAATGGCATCCTAAGGTCACAGAGTATTATTACTACCATTGTTACATTGCATTTCTGTTCCACCGTTTTTCCTCTTGTGAGGAACTAAAGGCATCTTCCAAGGTTCTCCTCCACCCTATAGTTATGCTTGCAACAAAAGCCCTGTGAAGAAGGCTGAGTGAGTGACTAACCTAAAGTCACCCAGTGAGCCTTGTGGCCAAGTCAGGACTAGAGTCCAGATCTCCAGTCCACTCTAACCACCACATCACACTGGCTCACCAGTCTACCTTGTAGATTGTTCCACCTCAGGCTCCAAGGGTATGTGCCCCATTTGTTAATGTCTTCCTCCCCCAAATACTTTGCTGTCTGAAGCAAAGCTGCCAAATGCCTGAGGCCAACTGAGCTATTCCGACATCTGTAATACAACATCGACCATGTTCCCGTTTCTTTGCAGCACAAGTACAACATTCATACATTAAACCAGTATCAGTCCTTTGTCTTTTCATGACACCTCATTCATTGCTCTGCCTAATGGTAATTCCAGCCTTGAAAAGATACCACCACCTTGCAAGTAAAAACTACTAGGTTTTCTCCTAGGCTACTCCTTGGTAAGAAGGTTTTAATGAAAGGGGCTTTTTCTGCATAGGGAGTAGCTGGAAATGGTACGATCCATTTCCCCTCTCAGGACTTCATTTTATTTGCATGTTGACTCAAATGTCAAAAACAGCCATTTAGATTCACACATACAACTCTGGGATCCTCTTTGCAGTGTTTTGGAGGTGGCCTTTCACATGAGTCACTACAGATTCATAGCAGGCCTGCTTCGTGTGTCACCTCAGTGACATGAGAGTCAGTCCAAGTAGATTTGTCCTATACTATTCAGATAACATCTGGATGAGCAAATCACGTGGACTCCTTTCCTAACCACTGGAAAGGTCAGGCAACATTTACATGAGAAGTACCCACACCATTTATCTCATTGGCTTGGCAACACCATTTGGATATTATCCCAGTGCCATAAAACTTGAGGACAAAAAAAGAAGTCTCCTACCACAACATTCCAGCTCTGTTCATGCAACCAAATTTGTATGGGACGAGTAGAGGATTGAGCAGAGCTTAGCAGATTCTGCAGAAACTTGTGATCACCCCCATCTAACTTGAAACTTCGTCTGTGTTTACTGCACATCACCCTCCCTAAATTGTCAACTTCATAGTGGCAGAAAAAATACAGAATTAAGTTGAAAGTTGGATGTGTGGGGAAACAGACAAATGGCCTTCTCCGTATGGATTTTGTTAAATCCATTTTGCCTGTGTTTTGCAGATTATCAGGCATCTTTAATTCTATCACCTACTCGTTGATGGAATTTGGGGGTTTTGGAGCTGTATGAGACTTTTGTTATACTTCTGCAAGTATACATTAGTAATAAACCACATTAGCACAAGAATGTATTAGCATTAGACTGTCCCAAGATGTCTATGATGGGACAGTATAGACAAGTTTTAAGTAAATAAATAATACATATTTGCGAGTTGTCAATGTGCACAACCCTGCCTCCTGACAAAAGTTAAAACTGGTCTTCAAGTCCATGGAATCCATGTTACTTGGAAAAAGTTAGCCTACCACAGAGTTCAAAAACTGGATTCATAGAAATCTGTTATGGATTCTCCAACTCATTTTACCCCATGCTGAACTTAGGGAATTATCTAGTCTACATTCTAACTATAGCAACTGAGTGAACATACATAAAAACCAAGAAGAAAAATATATAATTATTTATATTACCAGTGGCAATGGCTGGTGGTTGGTTATCCACTGGAAAAATTGTGATATTAATGTCAAACACTGGAAAGGATTTATGAAGAGGCACAGGAGGAAAAGGAGATCCATCAAAACAACAGGCATTTCCATCTGGGCCAAGTTCATCATCCAAGACAATAAAGGTGAGGACATCAAATAAAGGAGTCAAGCCAATCTCTCCACCTGGAAAAGGGAACTACAGGTAAAGCATGATTTTTTTTCAATACAAGGTAAACATTACCATAAGGATTTCTTTAAAAAATGCAGAGATGCCAATATATTTTCTGCAATAGTCAAAAGAACATGAAAAGACATACCAAGAAGTTCAAGAGAAATATCTAGAACTGCATGATTATGGTACATTATTCCATTTAAGGAACAGTTGGTAACATATGAAAACAATTGCTAGGATATGCATTTTTTTTTTTTTTGGGTCATGCAGTTAGGATAAAGATGCTACTTGCTGAAGATTGGGGGAAACTTAATTATCCTCTATTAGCCAATTGGTTGCTGCAAACATGTATCTCTCACTTCAGAAATACACCACCTCTACCAGTCTCTCCCAACCTGGTGCCATCCAAATATATTAGGCTACAAGTGCCATCATCCCAGCCAGCATGCCCAGGGAGTTGCTTCCAGCACATCTGGAGAACATCAGGTTGAGGAAGGCTGAATTATAGCATCTGTCACCTGGAGCATATCCATGCTGATACACAGATGCTGCATGCTTCTTGGTTATGTTATGGTAAATGTTACGGTAACCCTACGGATGCTGATGTGAGCGCTTTCTGGTCTCCTGCATTCAGGGGATACAACATTTAATTTGATCTCATCAGCAGCACAGTGGTAAAGACTTGGTGAGTATATTGGCCTTTGGGCCAATATAGCAGAATATAAGTTTAATAATAAACAAATACAAGGGAAGGAAGGCAGGAAGAAAAGAGATCAGGGCACCGCTCTCACTCACTTGTGTGTTCGTATGTCACTGCTCCAGAAAAAACATCTGCTTGGAGAAAACGATCTACCACGATTCCAGCTTTCTTTACAACCCCATGCTTGGGATGCTGCGCAAGCATGAAGATCAGCTGCATGTCTTCACTGTCTGCATCAGTAGCACAAAGGTGCTCTGAAGAGATGGGCACTGCCTGACCCTCTGGGCATTGCAGGAAGGGAATGAGATCAGTATTCATCACAGGAGGCTCATCATTTACAGGCATCACCTGGAGGAAATGTGTGCATTAAAACCCCATTGTCCTTCTGTCTGCATATGCAGGCATGATTTACTCAAGGGAGTAAATTTACTCAAGGAAGCTATTGCAGAGTGAGAGGTGTGTTGTGAGTCCTGAACTGTTAAGGCAAAGAGTAAATTGTGGTGGATCTCGGTTCGCTTAAAATCAGACCACCAACTAACAAAGTCAACAAATGAAAATATGGAAAATGCTAAAGGTGAACAGAGACTATGTAGGCATTATCAACCATTGTGCACAAAAATGTATACATGTGAAACATGGTTTGCAGGTGAACAGTCCAAGGCCCAAGAGGCTCATGTTGTAGTAGAAAATGCAGGTTTGCCACTAAATGTATGCTTGAGAGGGAGTTGCAGGTAATCCAAGGTTCTGAGTTGGGTGTACCTGAATGGTCTCAAACATGTACATTACCTTTTATTGAATAACTCCATCTAAGTTGCTACATAATGAAGCCCTGATGCTTCTTTCAGAAAAGAAAAATGTTTGTTTCTAAATAGGAAAGATTGGGAGATGTTTGAGTAAATTAGTAGCTGGGGAAGTGAGTGGGTAAATCTTTCTGTCACAACCCACATCCCCTGTGTAGTTCATAATGTGAATTTTTTGCACATGTGTGGAGAATTGTGCTGACAAAGACAATCCTGAGCTCAGAAACATCAGGCTGTGAAAGAGTTAATCCACCGCCCACCCTTCCCCCTTTTGTACTGTCCTAAGCAGCATCAGGGGGTCTCACTGAGGCCAAAAACCACAGAATCTAGTCCTCTGAGAACTCTCCTGGTATGTTCTTAATTTTACAAATAATATATGTAATCAGATTTTTTTAAAAACAGGAATTTTAACAGGGCAGTCTGTCTTAAGTACACAATATACACATGTGCATACAGTGCAGGTTTTTCTCATTTTTAAGTGGCTCCTGTTTCCTTAAATATTTGAACATACAAACTTGGAAACAAAACAGTTCTCTCTTGCTACTGTACTTACCTGTTCATCATTCAATTCAAAATGGATTCATTCCTGACAATAAAGAATAAGCTGGAACAGGTGCAGATGTCTATTAACTGGTACCTGCCAAATTTGTTATTTAACTGATGCTGGCACATTAAAACTCCACAGTGAAGCAGAAACCTCACCCAGCCTGGGAGTTTACAGCTTGCAAAAGAACTGCAAAGCTCTCTGAAAGTTTTAATGTTCCAGGAGACCTACATTCTGATTAGTCTTGCACTGACCTTAACGTGTAGGATAAACTCAAAAGAATTGACACCATCTGTAGCTGCCAGCAGGATATGATCCTGTGGAATCTCTGAGCCATTGTGATGATACCTAGGGGAACAGGGGAGCAAGATTATCAGCTTACTTCAATGATTGCATCGCTAGCGCTGCTCCAGGCAGCATTACCCAGTTCTGATAATATGTCAAACCCTGCACATGCCACGGAATTCACAGCCCTCACCTAGGGAGCTAACTATCAAGATTAAAAGACAGAGAGAGGGATGAAAGGGTGGAAAGTAAACATTGGGAAGGGACACAGGATGCTGCCTATCAGACCAAATCTGCCTGTTTGACCAAATCCAGCACCAGATCAGATCACTGGTCTAATTCAGCATGATCTGCACAGACCGGCAGCAACCCTTCCAGGTTTCTGGCAGTGGTCTTTCCTAGCCTTACTTGGATAAGTCAGGGATGAAGCCTGCTCTGATACAGGGAAATGTGAGGGTTTGACTGAAGAAGGGCTCCTTACATGAGACTGCTAGCTTTCCACTTTACCATGGCTTCTACTTCTTTGCAGGATTAAAATTGACTTTTATATGTGCTTTTCCCTGGTTTTTCTTCTTTTTCTGTCTTTCTAAATGTTCCATTACACAGCCACTAGGTGGCACTCCAAAATAGTTTTGCTATGAAAATACAGAACTTTCTCATTCTGATTCATTCTATCATGTCCAGTTAATAGCACACTTTTCTCTCTCTCAAGAAAGCTACAGAAATAATTGCAAAGCATGGCAGAAGCTGTGGAGAATGATGATGTCACGTAAAGCACCCATGAATGGTGCCTCCTGTAGAGAAGCCCTTTGGTTTTTTTGTTGGTTTTGGCACCTCAATTTCAGCAGAGAACAGCAGGGGCTGCGGCAGGGGGCAGCAGGCGCCAGTGCTGCCCACCCCTGCCATACATGATGAGTTGCTGCTGGATTTCAGGCTGCAGGCAGCAAATCTAATGTGTGAAACAAAATTAGCCTTTAGGGAGGATATGCAAAATCAGGCTTTGCTGACATGTGAGTTTTGTATTTACAGAGAGGTGTGTATATGTGCTACATGTGTGTTAATGTGGATGAGACTTCAAACATTTGATTCTCAACCTACATGTAAAATGCTACAGTTTTGTAAAATCCCACTACTATGAGGCCCATTGTATCCTTCAGTTCTTATACTTCCTTAGTAGAGCTATCAGAGAGTACGTCCAGATAAGGTTTTTCCCCCTCTAAATTGTTATTGTACAATTGCCCTGCCTGAAGCACAAAATGTTAGAAGGGATCCAGATGATAACACCTTGCATTCTGTAACCTCCCACATTTTTTCATTTTTTTAACTACAGAAACATCTACTAAAACAGAATAGCTGTGCAACACTTATAAGAGCAGGACATCTGGAAGCACCCAGAATCCACAGGCAGATGACTGTCCACTCTAACCTGACTTTGGACATGTGTAAGTCTTCATAAGTGAGCTGATCCCCTTGCTTCACGCAGCTTCCATCCAGCTCAACAGTCCCATGGAGAGGTGGCCTTAGCAGCTGGATACAAATATTTTCTCGTTTGGTGTCCACATCTGAAATCAAAATGTGCTCCTCTGTAATGGTGCAGGACCCACCTTCTTCCACTTTCAAGTTGTTTATAAACACCTGAGCAGAGGGGAAGAGGCAACAGATTCAATGTCTTCTCGGAAGATATTTTTACTCACACTAACGAAAGTAGCATTTTCTTTTTTTTATGGATGCAACACAATTTTGCAAGCCACTGAACCAAAGCTAAACAAATAAATGGATCCACCTGCAGTATTTGCAGGATTGCCTAGTGCAAATATTTATCCAGCTGTTGTTAAGCCAGGCTTTAGGAATGCCAGTTTTTTTGTTCTATTAAATGACACAGAAAGAAATTGGAATAATCGAAACAGTTTTAAAACTCTTTATTTTCTTACCCTTTGTAAAATCCAATAATACTTGGCTACAATTGAAGATACTGAAATTGCAGAATCATGGTCAAGGGAAGAATTCAAGGAGGAGGCAGCCCTGTGTCTTCCTGCCATCACCTGGGAGGCCAAAGGATTCTTCGGAGACTGGGCACTGGAGCCTCCAACCTTGGTGCTCAGATTCCAGAGATCAAGCCCCTGCCCCGCCCCTTCCAGCCAAGCTCTGCCCCCCACTGGCTGCCCACTCCCCAGGTCACAACAGGGTCTTGGGGAAAAGGGGCATGCTTCTGATTCCAGACTTCTGATTCCAGTCAGCATCTCAGCCCCCTTCCCTTGCGCTCACCAACTTTTGGCCTTCTAGAGAAAAGGCAGAGTGCAACATCCAGCAGCAAAAGGCTCTGCTGCTATGCCTCATGCCTTGCACGGGATGTTTGTAAGCCTCTACGTTTGGAGGCTTATAGCATCTGCCATGGGGGTGAGAGGACTGCACCCTTTGGTTTCAATCCTGTACCTGGTTAGCTGGACCTAAGTGAGAATTACTTCTGAGTAGATGCATGTAGGATTGTACTTGAGTCCATTTCTATGGTTTTGTCTCTAAACTGCCCCTAGATGGGATAGTTCATCTAGGATGGCCTAAGGGGAAAAATCCACATGATAAGAGGGAACAGAAAATACTCTCTGATTCCAAGAAGGTACGACACAGGCAGATGCCCATCTTTCCGAACAAAGAGGGTTTCCAATCCCATGTCGTTCTCTTAGCATGAGAGTGCTTAGATGAACCATGTTAAGATATGTTTAACCTTCCCTGACCTCACTCATTCTCCATTGTCTTCTGGCAGGTTTCATTATTGATTTTTCCTTCTGCCAGACTTTAAGATAGAAGATGCCCAGGTGGGGCAGACACTGGAAGGAGGGTGGCATTTGTGGGAGAAATTAGCAGGTACAGAAATTAAACAGGTTTGCCATCCACTCCTTGAAAATCTTGTGCCCCAAACCTGTATCTTGTGCCCCAAACCTTTTTATTTAAACGTCATTTTAATTGTTAATATTATTTGCTTATTTTATCTGGCCAGGGCAACTTATTTTATATTGTTAATTTGTTGTATGTATTCTATTTTAATTTTATGTTGTGAGCCGCCCCGAGGCTTCGGCGAATGGGGCGGCATAGAAATGTTTTAATAAATATAAATAAATAAATAAATATTCACCTTTAACAAAATACTAAGGGACAAAACAAATACTACTTTAATCAATTTCTAACAGCTACACCTCTAGAGCAGGTGCAGGGCCTCCCACCTAGATCTTAAAAGCTCTACTACCCCCTATGTTGTAGTCCTTGGGACCCTGGGTCTACTCTAAAGTAAAAATGATTTTAAAAGACACAGGTACTAGATGTGGATTTGAAGTGATTTGTGTTTTGGACCACATATCCAAGAAACTGTCAGAATAGCATGTGATTCCTTTTTAAGATAGACATAGAAGTAAAAAATCCTAAGTAGCTCCCCAAACTTAGTTTAATGCTCAAAATATTATATGCATCACTAAACAGCTAAGCCAACTTTTTAAAAGGCTAAGTTTTGCAAAAGCTGGCCTTCGCTTCTTTTCTCACTTCAGTTTGACCCTGGCTGAGGCCTGACCCCTTGTTTTCCTCCATCCACATGAGTATTACAGTCTTACCTCTGGAACTTGGTTGTCTACTGGAAGAATGGTAATGTTGAAGCAGATGCCGTATAATGTTGCGCCATGTTGATTGCTGACTGAAAATGTGAACTGGACATACTGAGGCTCAGGACCAATATCTTGCAAAGGTGGCATGTAGGCCACTTTCATGTGGTTAATGGCATGCTGCAGGCATAAAATAGTGAAACAGATAAATAAAAAGCAAGGGGAACATGACTGTCCTCCAAAATTAAAATATATCCACAGTAATACACCTCCACTTGGCACCAGGCAGGTTTCATCACCCACATATTGCCCACATAATACGCTGAGTAGGAACATTATTATTATTATTATTATTATTATTATTATAACATTTCTATGCCGCCCCTTGCCGAAACCTCGGGGCGGCTTACAACATGATAAAATACATTGAAATACAATAGTACATAATAAATTACCATTAAATATAACAATACAAAAAATACATTGATTTACAAATACAAAATTAAAATTATCAGTATAAAATAAAAATATAGGAGGAGAAAGAGAAGGAAGAAGAAGTTGCCCAGGCCAGATCATATGTTTTAACAATTGAAATGATGTTTAAATAAAAAGGTCTTTACCTGGCGCCGAAAAACCAGTAACGACGGTGCCAGGCGGACCTCTTTGGGGAGTGAATTCCATAGGTTGGGCGCCACCGCAGAGAAAGCCCTCCTCCGGGTACTTACTCTCCTAATTTCTTTCATGGAGGGTTCCCGGAGAAGGGACTCTCCCGCAGATCTCAAAGGGCGGTCGGGCATATACGGACGTAAGCACTCGTTCAGGTAGCCAGGACCCAAGCCGTTTAGGGCTTTGTAGGTCATAATCAACACCTTGAATTGGGCCCGGGCTTCAATGGGAAGCCAGTGAAGCTGATGGAGGACTGGAGTCATGTGAGCATAACGCCCCGTCCCCGTCAGCAACCTGGCAGCTCTATTTTGCACCAATTGAAGTGTTCGGACTGTCTTCAGGGGAAGCCCCACGTAAAGCGCGTTACAGAAGTCTAGGCGGGAAGTCACCAGCGCGTGTGTCACCGTCGCCAGGCAGTCGTATTCCAGGTAGGGGCGCAGCTGATTAATCAGCCGAAGCTGAAGGAAGGCGTTCCTCGCTACCGCTGTCACCTGAGCTTCCAAAGAAAGCTCCGGGTCGAGGAGTACACCTAAGCTGCGGACCTTATCCCTAAGAGGGAGTGTTGCACCATTCAGGACCAGGTCAAATCCACCCTCTCCGAAACCCGATCCGCCAACCAACAGGACCTCCGTCTTGTCTGGGTTGAGTTTCAGTTTATTGGCCCTCATCCATTCCCTTACCTCGGCCAAGCACCGGTTCAGCACAGCCACTGCCTCACCTGGATTAGTGGAGAATGAGAGGTAAAGCTGGGTATCATCAGCGTATTGATGATTCCGCAGCCCACACCTCCTGATGACCTCTCCCAGCGGTTTCATATAGATGTTAAATAGCAGAGGGGATAGAATGGAGCCCTGTGGTACCCCATGGCATAGCTGCCATGACGTACAGACATGGTCCCCCATGCTTCTCTATGCCTGGTTCTGATGCAGTAGAAACTGATTCTGACTAAACACAGAGTGAGTTGCTTTTATCTGCTCACACATAGCTGGATGTACAGGGAGGAGCAATGCAGTGCCTGGGCACTGGGCTTCTAATAGATATTCAACTTGGTAACAGACCTGAGTGAATGACCTCAGCGATGGTGTGGCTGGATCCTTGATCAGTTTCGGAATGCTGTCTACCATAAACAGTTTTCCAGCATCTGTGTGGCTGCACAGAAACATCAGTATTGTCACACATATATGCAAAGCCATACAGTTTCTTCAATAACAAAAGAAGAGGCAAAGTCACATTCCAAAATGTATTGCCACATCCGGAGCCAGAGTCAATGGTGGGCATGGACAGGTGCCTGCCAAGGACGGATATTCCTACTGAGCAGGGACCTACTAACACCAGCACCCCGGTCTGTTCCTCCTTTTCACTGTTGCAACCTGCCCCTTCCCTGGCTTCTTGCTTGGGCCTGGACAACAGTGCTAGTGAGATGCTGCTGCCTTCTTGCTCACGGCCTACTGTGTTAATTTATGTGCATGGAGTGCTTTTATATCTGCATGCATATTAGGATAGAAAAACTGGGCAAAAACTGGTGCCCAGTGAAGCTGAGACTGGCAACAGCCAACATGTTCTTAACCCAAGAGACAAAATGGATGCGCTAGCACCCTGTCACAGCTTTGCTAGTCACCACCAACTTTGCTGAGCAAGACCTGGAAAACACACCTTTTCCTTTTGTGAAGTATGTATGTATTCACTCAGACTTACTGATGCACAGATGAGAAGAATGGGGGAGAAGTTATGGTATAGATGAGCTCCCTTTCCTGTGCTTCCATGTCTATGTAATTCAGGTGTTTCTTGGTGAGATGGACAATCTCAGTTTCCTTGACAGCCAGATGGCGGCTCACTCCTGGAGCTTCTTTGGGAAGCTGATCATCCACAGGAATTATGTGTACTCTTACTACCTAGCGTAAGGATTTAGAAAGACTGTTATATACTGAGGGCTTTTGGGTTCCCATAATGGTGGTGAGAAAGATAGATCATCAGAAATACTGCAACTAAAGCATTACAGAATTTACAGTAAACCACCCTGTCATATTTTACAATTAGATTTCTATCCTGCCTGTTTCTTTTTTAAATAACTCAAAGAGGCTTACATCATTTTCTTCCTCCTGCCTTCAGTCTTATCCCCACAACACCAGCCCTGTGAGGTAGGCTGGGCTGAGAGTTTGTGACTAGGCCAAAGTCACCCAGTTGGCTCCATGGCTGAGTGGGCACTAGAACCCAAATCTCCTGAGCCGCAGACCCAGGTGTTTAACCACTAGACCACACTGGCTCTATGCACATCTACTGGAAGATACATTTCAAGAGCAGGTAACAAAGTATTCCACAAGTTCCCCATGTTTCTTCATATTTTGTTTAAATTTGCCATTTAAAACCTTGCATTTTTTTAAAAAAATCTGAGACCTTAATATTTAAACTTTTAACAATGTTCATGATCATTGATTTCTATATTTAAAGATGAATACAAGTCTAAAAATGTGCATAAATATCTGAAACATTTCCAGATATAGTTATAAAAGCAGAAAGACACAGGAAGCCAAGAACTGAGTTCTTGTATCCTGGTTGTATCCATTTATTGGCCACCTGAAGCGAGACCTTTAGTTTAAGGTCAGGCTGACAGCATTTTCTGCTGGGTATAATGCCAAGTCTCTTCGGAATATGGACAGAGCTTTGTAACCCATTAAGCACATTCACAGCAGTATTATAGACCCATGTACCTGATCCATCTGGTTGACAGGAAAAGAAAATTCTCACACATTTAGAGTGCAGTTCTAAGTAAAAGGAAATCCCATTGTGCTCAGTGGGACTTACCCTTGTAAGTGAATTTAGGACTGTACCCTTCGTTTATACTATTATTAATACATTGCACTTATATCCCACCTTTTTTGTCATGTGAAGAACCCAAGGTAGCTTACATAGCTCCTTTTTATACTCATAACAACAACCCTGTGAGGTAGGTTAGGCTAAGAGTGAGTAAGAGGCCCAAAGTTACCCAGTAAGCTTCATGGATGAGTGAGGACTAGAACCCGGATCTCTCAGGACTCCAGTCCAACAATGCATATGCTTGCATGGCCTTGCAATAAATAACACAATGACACACCTGAGTTTCTGAAAGATTGGGAGGGTCATGACTATCACACAGAACTAGTTCAATTGAATCTTCAAATATTTCTCCTCCGAAGTGACGATAGTAGATTATTCCATTAAACAGATCTTTCTGAAGAAATTGAGTGACTGGATAACCTGTTGAATCACAAACAGAAGCAGGCGTATCTTGGACCTGTTATAATTACATATAAGAATTATACCTCCATTCTAATGCAGAGTTCAGCAGTGTTCTTCAAGACAATGGCAAATTATTATATATTCCCATTTTTCTTTGCATGAAATCATTGTTTACGGTTATATATTAATTGTCTTGCACTGAAATTCTGAAGCTAGCTATGTCAAAGTCACCTGTAGAGGTTTCATTTTGTCAGTTTTCTTTAAAAAAGAGAACTGGCATTCACTGAATGGTAATGGAAATGCATAAAAATAATGTTTGAACTGTGACAGAGAGTCAGTGCTTTACTTTTAGAGGTAATTAGTTTGTATTCAGCATGGATGATGCATTGACTAAGTTAAAACCTCCAGGGATCTCAATATCAAGAAAATTTTATGGATAACTCAGTGGGTTGTTTGTTAGATTGTATTTTGTTTGCTTTTTTAGCTAAGGAATAAATATAAGAAAATTCTCCTAGAAAGGATACAGCTGTAATGAAAAAAAATGCTGTGTCGGCTGTTGCAAAGCCTACCAAAACCAAAGCAAGTACCAGGTTGTCCGCTATCTTGGGAATAATTCAGCAACCGTGTTCACACTGCCCCCACAGTGGGCCGCAGTGCCTGTCAGAACAGGCTGGTGGACTTTGGAATATTCAGGCTTGTGCTCTATGGATTCAGTGAGTTAGCTGTCAGCGTGGTTAGCAAACCATGCAGAATCCATGGACTGTTTTGGGGCATGCTCCAAGCGGCCACCCAAACATGCTGCAGCCCACCCTAGTTTAGGAAATCATGTGAACCTCTCTAATGTATACACTTTCGTGCCATCCATTAACCGGGAATTGCTATGGTCCAATCTTGAACACATGCATTAAAATGCCAGTGAACTATTATGACGGATGAATGATTACAAAGTTAGTCTGATGAGGGGAGGAACACATGAGTACTGAATAACTCAGTCATCCATTTGTGTGTAGTGAATTTAATCCCATGAGCAAAGCAGGCTAAAGATCAGTGCAGTGGTGGGGAGGCCAAGGGGGTGCCACTTCACACAAGGGGCTAACCACGAAGCTCAGGGTCCAACTCAGGAAACCTCTCATTAACATAACTCTGGCATTGAGTCTATATATATTTAGGAGTTTTTATGCTCAGGGCCTAAATCTGAAGCCAGCATGGCCTTGAAGTGCTTTTGAACATAAGCAAATCTGCAGCAAACAGCCTTTAATCTGTGTGTTTGGTACTAAAAGCTACTTTTAGTTTGATAGTAAAGGATCCATGGACCATTTACTCAGTCCTGCCAAAAAGAAAAAAAATTAAAAGGAGATGGAAGCAACCAGATGAAAACAACAGTTGAACTCTTACAGTTTTAGAAGGAAATAAGAAATAAATTGAAAACACCACTTAGGTATTAAGGGGGGAAAATAACCTCAAAACATTAGGCAAAAGAAAGAGCTCTTCTCCCTCTGGGAAATGTCTACTATATTACCAATAAGGTCCGGTCCCGGTTTCTTCATGATTTCTCCTGCCTGAGAAGGTTTGGTGATATTAAAGAGTATGTAGTCATCACTAGAATCCATGTCAGAAGCTTGGAGCACTGAGCCTTGGATCTGAATTGCTTGTCCTTCGTGCACCTGTAGTTCAATGTTCCTGCTAAGGAATGGTGGACTGTCATCTTTAGGCAGGATGTTGATTGGAAACCTGTGGCGGGTGCTGTGGTGGTTATCAAAGATCCTGAAGACAATGTAGTCCTTTGTGGAATCACTGTCATCATGATGGTACCGAACGAGGCCAGACTTAAGGTCCGCAACTGTGAGCACGAACCCTTTGCCCCCTGTCAGACAGCAAAAGCCATACAGTTGGAAAACAAGACCACTTTATAATGGAACTGAAGATTAGGAACTGAAACACCTAAGTTTATAAGACACGGCAAGAACAGGGAGTCCATAAACATCACTTCTTCACAAATTAATTTGTGAGGTCAGAGGACTTTTGGTGACAGGAAGGACTGCCCTCTCTCTTGGCTTCTCAGAAGGAAGAAGGAGCAAGAGAGGCTCTCATTGTTTGCAAAAGCTGCCATGAAGAAAAACCAGACCTAGGCCCAAGCCTATTAATCTACTGGTACTGGATACTGGTCATGATGGCTATATATCACTTCCAGCATCAGAGGCAACATATCTCTGTGTGCAGGTTACTGGGGAAAATGACTGGAAACGGGGTGCTGTTGCACTCATGTTGTGCTTGTGGAGCTTCCCACAGGCACAGAATGCTGGCCTAGATGGGCCCTTGGTCTGATCCAGGACGGCTTTTTAAAATTTTCTTACGCCCTTTCCATATGCCTCCGAACTCAGGGGAGAGTGGTAATAACCAGCTACCAACAGCCGCTGGCCAGGAGCCAGAGACAAATATTATGAAGCCCTTACAAATGAGCAATAAAAATGTTACATTTCCTCTTAGTCGAGCGTGAAGCTTATGCCACGTGGTAAATATGGCAGCTACCTCAGAATCCTCAGCATCTCAGTACTCATAAATGATCCCTATCCTGAATCCAGCAGCAGGCGTTGCATGTTAGGGTAGTGGTAAAGGTGAATCGGCCATGTTCTGTATTGCAAAATTCAATAATAATTTCCACATGCAGAGATCCACGGGAATACAATACCCCTCAGAGTGAGCTGTCCATGCTGTAGGCCATCAACAGTGACTAGGCGAACACCACTGATATCATCATTGTCTACAATCTGAAAATGTTCCCATGTTATAGAACGAGACTGTCCTTCCAAGAGATCAAGACCTAGAAAAGGCAAGAGGGATGCTTCAGGGGGTTATGGAAAGACCCAGATCTTATATAAAAGGCACAATTCAGAACCATTCAGCTCATTGCTGCCATTGAACCTTGATGGCATGTGAATTCAGTTAACGCACTCTGAGTGAATGAGACTTTTAAAACAACCATCTGGTTTACTCATAGGGTGGGTGCAACTGTCAGGACTCTATTGTGTAAAGCTACCATTTAGGACTCTGCAGGTAGCTTGTTGAAGCATTGCCTGAAACATTAATTGTTTTCAGAAATGTCACTGCAGGGCAGGCCGTGGCTTCCAGAACTAATTTTCCTTCTGATTCAGCAAGGGACTGTGTGCAACGCTGATGCAGGTGTGAGTCCTCATCATGAAACTGATTCAAAGCTACAGCTATGCTGAAAGGAATTATCCTGTAATATCTCATTTATGAGAAATTGTTATCACAGGTCAGATAGCATGGATGGACCTCCCATAAAGTACAGGGCCCGACTGTGAAGGCAGACTTCATAGTTTAGATTTAAGTCCCTCAGTGCCTGCCTATTTTTGCCCTTTGAAACTCTGATCTGGTTCACAGGCACAAAAACCCTCGGTGGGCTGAGAGCCTTGCTCATTACAGAGTGGTTTGTCCTGACAACCCAGCTTTGCACAGAGACTTTGGCTTGGTTTGTGAACCACTCACAAGCCACTCTGAGAACCCGTGGCTTGTCGTCGGGTTCTTATTTGCAGCTTATTTTCAGAGGGACATTTCAAGACATGCAAATCCGCCATGATGGCTTCCGCCAAAAAGCTACAGCATCACTTGCCGAGAGTGGCAGGGACCCTGGCTGCTCCACTTCTTGCCTCCCAGTTTTGTTAGCTGTATGCCAGTCTGGCAGCACGTTCATGAGAAATCGCTATTCGCATCTGTGATCACTGTTTGCGCCACACAAATTCCACAGACTGAATAGCCATCAGCAATACATTTCTGCAAATTTCTCCAAATGTGTGGACCATTCTTTCATGTTTTGAAGTGGTATGTAAATCTAGTTATACAAAGCAATGGAAGTAAAACAGAAACAACCGCAACAACCAACAACACATTCCTCACCATAGGTTGAAGTATGAACATGTGGTTTTGGGGTTGATTTGTGCTTTTTACTCTGTTTTTACTTTTGGAAAGATGTATGCTACTGCTAATTAGTGCAAGGAGAACTCATTCTTGGACCAAAAAATGAGCCAGGGATAGAACAAAGATGCCTGAGGATCCACAAATCACAAAACATGCACATTTACTCTTTACAAAAAACAACAACAAAACCCCTGTGCTCCAAAGGCCACTGGATACATACTGGAAGTGGGTGGGATAAAGTGGGGGGAACCATGTCAAGTGCAGGAGCACCTGATCATCTGTTGCCAAGACTGTGGCTTGGCAAGCAATTAACCAATCCGCCATGACTTGTTTTAGCATGAATTATCATGGCTTGTGAATCCATCCTCTGTGAGGCACTTGGGATGCAGGGCTGTTCAATGTCCTTCTGTCCAAGGAACAAATTCAGCAGACTCCTGTTCGGGACAGGGTCAAAGATGGATGGGCAGGGTCCAAATACCAGTGTGTTCTATTTTAAAGCTCTTATTGACTGTTATTAAATCTTTAGAGGGGTGTTAGAATAAGAAAAATGTGGAAAGCTACCAACTAGTGGTGGTTAAGAGAACAAGATGGAGCTAGGAGGGTGGCAAGACCATATGGACAATCCTGGAGGTTAGACTGGGTTCCCAGGAGTGCCAGATTTGGCTCATAAACCTGAGATTCAACATCCCTGCTACATGTACTGATGGCTCTGCATAAAAATAATTCAATTACAACCATAATTTGTTTGCTGTAATACTGTCCGTCGATAAGCCTCCCTCAGACAACTGTAAATTAAAGTGGAGTTAAAACAAACTTTTCAATTTTACTTTTCTTTGATGGTCTTTTAATTCTTCTGGTCATCTTTATTGTAGGAGTTATTTTCCTGGTTGTTTAAAGTCTGAGTTTATTCTTGATCTGTTTTTAAAGACAAGAGTTTCCATGTGAAGTAAATTCTTACCTGTGTTCCATGAAACCCGAGGAGCATTGGTGTTTGTTGTTCTAACAGAGATATAAAGAGTGATAGGCGAACTCTTTTCAAAGTATAAATCATGAACTTGAAACTCCACCTGTTATACAAAAATGGACACTCTGTTTACTACTAAAAAAAAACCAAATCAAAGGACATCAGAAAAGCCCACTGAATCGGACTGAAGGTCTACCCAATGTAGCATTCTGCTCCTGCATTGGCCAACCAGGCACCAAAATGGAAACTCACAAGCAGGACATGAGCACGACAGCATCTTCCTGTGTGGGTTCCCCAGTGAATGGCATTGTGAGGCATGCTTCCTGCAATACTGCAGCTGACACAAGCTGGACTAGCATGCAGCTCATCAGCCACAGTGTGTTGCCGTATTGCACAAACATGGAACAAGTTTGCCTGGATGGCCAATTTTTGGCTTATAAACCATCCTGGCAACTCATGGCTTGGAGCTGGAGTTGTCTGACCCATGAAGGGTTTTTGCATTGTCCGAACCTTGATGACACAACCCATTGTGGGTCAATCAAACTGCTGGGCAAAAAATCCCCTTGCTGCTAGCCAGCAAGTGCTACTGACAGCTGCCCACGAAGTACCCAAGTGGCACTTGGGGGCAGCTGTCAGAGGCTTGCCCTGCTCCCTGACACCAACCCTGTCTGGTTGGCAATGCCAGAAGGACGTAATCTCCACTTCCCTACCACCCTGGCTCTCATTTTAGGCAGGCAGCAGCAGAAGCTACTTCAGTGGGCCATACACGGTTGGCTGGAAAACCAACTGACATTTCCCATTCCCTCCACTGCTGTGAGCCTTTGCAGGGGCAGAAATCCCTTCGGCCAAAGCAATCTCCAATGTTGTTAGTAGTGGGAAGGAAGAAGGCAACCTTGGTTTCCTGCAAAGTCCCCTGGGATACCTGTGTGGGGAGGAGGTGGGCAAGGACCCACAATGTGCCTGATCACATATCAGACATATCATGGGTCCTCAAAGCAGACAGGCCACCCTGCATGGTTTTGTGCCACAGCGTTGGTTGTTACTCCAGGCCTTAAGGCCAGAAGGCTGGGAGTTGCCCGCCGTTCTTCTGTCTAAATGTACACAGGAGTGTGGACCCTTAATCAATTAGTACAGTGAAACCAGCTTTTGTCACGCATTCAGATGCAGAGCCAGTTTCCTCATGAATTCACACAGATCACTTGATGCCTCATGATCTGATGACCTCTGCCTGAAAGGATGCTTGGAGAGCGTTAAGTGATCTGAGGTGACCAGATGCCTTTTGAGCGGCCACAGGTCAAGCCCAGTCCCATCTCACTGTACCGGATGTGACTGCGCAGGCTTTGCATATCTTTCAGCTGCAAAGGACCAGGCAGCATCAGGGCCAGCCTTCGGCCTTGTTTCAGTTACCTCATAATTCCTCCTCTCTGGGTAGCTGCTATTTGGAGGCTGATAGGCAATGAGCATATCGTTGAGGCTGTTCCACGTGAAAGAGGAAATGCGCTTTGTGTGGTCTTGCAGGTGGGTGATGTAGCCTTCCTGGGGTGCCTTGGTGATGTTGAAGACCAGCAGGGATTGGGCTGTTTCGCTGTCCTTAGCATCCAGTATGGCTGTCGACAAGGGGCTCAAAATGAACTGGTCTGCTTCCAGGATGAAGGTGGCCATGAAGGCAGCTTGTGGCGCCTGGTTAGAAATTGCACCTCTGATCCGAACAGGGAGCCAAGCATGCTCAGACTATGGAGCAAGAAATAAACAGCAAACAATCATGCAATGAAACCAGATGCCCAATTATGCATGAATTCTTTCTGAACAGCCTAACCTATACCCAGAAATAAGCCCAGTGGGACCCCCAAGTAGATATTACATAGGATTAGGGCTGTTTTAAGCTATTCATTCCCTCTGTGGAAATAATAAATAATTCCTTTACGCACGGAAAATGCTGCACTGTAATGTAGATGTTTCTTTTTTAGCTGAGAAATAAATAAAAGAAAATTCTCCTAGAACAACCCCACACAACTTGAGAGGCACCAACCTGAAGATGGTTCATCTATCACAGCATGCAAAGTATTGAGTATCGCCATCTGTTTTTGCATTCCCAGCGAGGAAACAAAATCAGAATGTCCATCAAGTCAGGGAAGAGCTGCCTGACAAGTTTGCAAGGCATGTGCGGGCCTACAGTAGATCCTTGCCATCTCCTGTTTAGAGATGCCTCCCAAAAACTCCAGTCCTGAACACTGCTGTTCCACCCAGTGTACTAGCTGAAGTGCTGAACTAGATCTGGATGAATGCAAGACAGCCATCAAATGTGAGGATTGCACTCACATTGCATCAATGGATTATTTGGCCATCATAGGAACTCTTACCAACACATTTGCTACTTAACAGGTAAGTCTCTGAGCTGATTCACATGATCAAAACCCTGCTGTGGCTTATGTCAAGGTGAGCTACTACATGTGCAAGTGGCCATTTGGAATGTTCAAGCCAGAACCATGGCTTCTCGTGCAACCCAGAATCAGCAGGGGTGGGTTGTGTGAAGGTTAAACAACCCTTGCATATCCCATAGCCTTCTTGAGAATTAACCCTCATACAACCCACCCACCAAGGTCTGACAACATGGCAAGCAGTACGTGTGCCTTGAACATTCTAAAGCTGCTAGGCATGAGCCACAGCCCATGGTGGCCTCTTCAAGCCAGGGAGATCATGCAAACAAGGTTTGTTGGTTCTCATCTTGGCTGATCGTTATCCAACCTGTTCTAGAAGATCATGTAATCTAGAATTCTCTGCACTCAAGCAAATAAGTCCCTTACCTTGTACACTGTGTTGCTTCTGCGATCAGTCAGATCCAGTCTGATCGGAATATAATCGACACTGGGTGAAGGAGGATCCAAATGCTGGTATCTAAGGCCCATCAGAAGAAAATCCTCACAGTTCACTCTGATGTTCTGAATGATCTTCAGGCCTGAAATACAGGTCCCGGTCAGGCACCTTTCACCTGCCCTGTGGTCTAATGACCCAAGAGAAATTATAATGAAATACTTGGTATAACAGAAATGTGGACAGAATATCAAAACAAGTCACAGGAGGCTTCTAGAAGAGGCTTTTATCATGCCTTCACTTTTCCATATTCCTGGAATTTTATAGTGGCAGTGGATGGAGAGATGATTATGTCTTCCACTTGCAACTTTTCTGTGTTTTCCCATCAATTCTTCAGTCTTTTTCCTTCTTCCTATAAAGTCCACTAAAGAAGCAAAGATGGTATTGCTGCAGAATGTGTTTTGATAGGTAGCACTAGGGAGCTGCTCATGTAGAAGCACCCACAGTGAGCTCAAAATTGTATGAAAGTGACATGCTGATTATCAGTCATGCAAGCGCCATCTGAGCAAGAGATCTTATAACCCCTCAATAGAAATAGCTCCTATAGAAGAAGTTCTGAAGAAGAGAAGGGTGCATTGCCATATCCTGATCCCACCACTAGCAATTCAGGGTATTCAAATGATGTTTGATGCTGTTACCTCCCATTACAGAAAAAATCTGCCTTTTATTTTATTTTTATTTATTTATTTAGGATATTTATATGCCGTCCTTTGCAAAAGCCTCAGGACAGCTTACAAAGCTTTTCCAATATCATAGCTAAGGTCGGTCTTTGGTTTGGCTCTAGTCTAAGCATGTGTGGTGCCAATTTGGATCAGGACATGATGCTCCAGGAAAAGATCATTCGACTTTCCCCCACAAGCACAGTTTACTTCCTGGAAACCTCCTGCCCTTCATGCGAGTGCAGGAGGGTTGTTAACAAACTAGGGAGAAAAATCTCAATTAGAACTGTCTCCTCAGTGTTGCCATAGGAACATACTATACAATTAGTGTAACATGTAGTTTGGCACTCTGAACTTCCACTGGGGCCCTTCTCAAAGTGCCACCTTCACCAGCATCCAAGGAGACCAAACTTTCTTCTCAGTGGCTTTCTAGTGCTACTGCCTCTGAGGAGCAGCTCCAGAGTCTTAATAGCAGCAAAGTAGCCAACGTAATTAGAAACAACAACTCTTAATAACAACCAACTCAAAAATGCCTCACAGGGCTTTCAGGCACTCAGCATGGAAAGCTGCAGAGGAGGAAGTCTTGGTTAAGACCTCAATACAAACTTTTGGAAAGCTCAAGCAGCAAGAGGGGCTGCAAGAACAGACTTTGGTGGGGGCGAATGCGCAATTAAAGAGCACACGTGCCCCTCAGCCACCTCCACGCGACACAGGAAGCCCTGAAGACCTTCACCCTGATAAACTGCTCCAAACTATCAGCATCCCAACAAAGGAGGCAATAAAGAGCCTGTTTTTCAGGGAAAGGAAAGGGTCAAACAGGGCAAGCAGGTTTTCAGCACAGCACTAAAATAGTTAATCAAGTTCTACCCTGTCGATGTCTATCTTGAAGCACAGGAAATCAAGTGTTTACTTTTTAAAACTAATTTTAAGTGTTTTATGGAATATATGGGGCCCATTTCTGAGTTAGAAAGTTCAGACCCGGAATGTGAACTAGATAGAGGAGGAGGCAGGTTGGAATGTAGCATGGAAATGTTGAAGTTAACAAGCAAATTTAACAAGCAAGGCAGCTGCTGAAAATCAAACGGCCCTGGGTTTGATTAGAATAGGGAGGGTTTCAAGAGAAAGGGTGTAAATTCATTAACCCTGTGAACCATCATCAAGAAAAATAAGCAGACCAATTCTGAAATGTCCACTGTCTGGCCCATAAACGGTACAACCCCCTTGACAGTGGAGTCAAGCCTTTTGGGAAAGAAAGGGAAAAGTAGGTCTTCATTCTGGAATCAACTCTTCACATGGGCAACAGCTGCTCCCACGAAGGGGAGGGAAAATTCCTTTTACTGTTGCTACCTGAGAACAACCTTCTTATGAAACACCTTGTATCACAAAAAACTGTCTAGCTCAAATAAAGAACTGCTTTCTTTTAGGTTTGTTAGAAAGAGAAAACAGAGGGAGATGAGCGCAAAACAATTGCATTGTAAAGCATTTCTGAATAAATATTACGAAAAGTGGTGCATAAATGCCTGAAATCAAAGTGTAGGGAACGGTAGGAGAACACAGGAGTGTGTCTTGTATTGAGAGAGACCGTTGGGCCACCTAGCACAGTACTGTCAGTATGACTAACCGGGGCTCTCCAGGTTGTCAGACAGGATTCTCCCCAGCCGCACCTAGGGATGCTGGGAATTGGACCGGAGACCTTCCCTGCATGCTGCACAAAAGCAGCGGGTATGCTGCTGCCGTACCACAACACCTTCCCTCCACAAGGTGCTGCACGTTCCCTGCAGTGCCAACCCACCAAAGCAGCCTAAAGCAGCCAAAATGTACCTGTTGGAAGCAAAGATTTTCAGCTTTTGTAGCAGTATCGCCATGGGAGCCTAGTATCACCAGATCTGACTGACAGTGCTTCTACTGCCTCTGCAAATTCCAGCAGCGGTGGTGGGAGGGCACGACAGGGATCAATGAGGGCTGCAAAGGGTCCCCAGTGCTGTGTTGCCCACCTACTGCCCTTAATAAGATACATAAGATGCAGTAAGATGATGGCTATGGTGAAGACAGTGACAATGAAAGTAACTACCACGTGGTCTATGCCTGCATATACACCTGCAGGAAATTATTTTGCGGGGAAATGTCTCAGGGTTGATAGAATTAGCTGGTACCGTCTATATTTCAATCTGTAATTATTTAAATAAAGTTATATATAACATCTTCACTAGTTGCAGAGAGTAGTAGTTATTAAAAGTACAATGAAACAGAGCATGACTTACTGGATGAGTGGAAAAATCTATGAGGTTGATCTCCACGAGGTTCTTCTTCTTTGGTTTCTCCAGTAACAAGTTGGCCATGAGCTGGTAGAAAAGTTTCTAGGGAGATCAGGCTTATAGTGCACTCCAAGTTAATCTTCCTCTTATAGTCCAAAGTAATTACATTCTTGTTAATTACATTGGACAGGCCATGAAACTCGGGGACCTCCAGAGCACTGGAGCTCATCTTGATAATATTACAATCTGGTTCAAGTAACTTGACAAGAAGGGTGACTATTTCTGTGAAAGTTTCTGTTTCTGTAAATCTGGAAAGGATAAATAAAAAACAGTCACTGTTTTGGAAACAAATTTGAAATAGCCATGCATGTGCTGAATACCACAAAACATAATGAAAGGATTATTATAACTGGTTAAAAATAATTTTCATAGGGCTAATAGCTGGACATGAAGAAAAGTGTGTAGGTGTGTGTGTCTCAGAAAGAGAGACATAGATTGTGGTGGGAGATATGAAATAACAATGAAGCCAATACTGCAATTCTCCCATTTTCCTATACTGCAGCACAAAGTACAAAACAAAGAAATTGGGATGCATTTGATTTTTAAAAAGTCATTCTCCATAGCTTGATTTTGTGATGGGCCGTCAGTTCTTTTCCCATTGATCATTTTTGCAGGGGTATGTCCAGAATATTTTCCTAATGGGACCCATATAATTCAATTGTATAAAAATTATTTTGGAATAGCACATTCCTTGCCCACTCCCCAAAATTCTACATTTTGTGTCCATTGCCACATTTTTTAAAAGCTCTGTTACCCAAAGATAATAACTATAAATTCACCAAAACAGCACTGCACAAATCCCTTTGCAATTCAGAGCAAGATGTGGCCTCCAGTAGAATTCTTTTAATCAATGGTACATAAATGATGGCCTAAAATATTTTTAGAAATACATAAAATCACCCAGAAATAGCATTGGGCCTCATTGGTCAACATAACCCCACTGTAGTTGGAAAGTGGCAAATCAGCTGCATACACCACAGAACCCTCATTAAATAGGTCATCCTACACATTGCAGGTCATGTCACACATATATGAAGGAATTGCACGTGCAGAAGAGGACAGAGAAAAAATACATGCATTTTACAAGTGGGGTGTCTAACACCAAAGACTTGAGCTTTCTCTCTGTCATGCACAGAGTTCTTACAAGCAGCCACAACACAGAGTTTAGCAAATGCTAGGGACCAAAAGTGGGGAGCTGTTGTACTCGTGCCCTGATGCTTTAAAGCTTCTCCAAGGAACTTGGCTGGCCACTGCTACAAACAGATTGCTAGGAGATGAACGGGTCAGCCCCATCATTTGTCCATTACCAGCCAAGTCACACGCTCGTACCACAATCTCTTCCTTCCAGAATCATCAGCCATAAATATACATGAATGCGCACATGCACACTTTCTTCCTTAAAAGGTTAAAACCCAAAGACACATGCAATTTGTTGTAACAGAGAAAAAAATAGCACTGTTTGGTCACACTGATAGTATGTATGTAGAGAAAAACGATGACATTAGCACCTATAACCCTGTGCAAAGGTTGCAAAATGTGGCTGTTTCAGGGGCAGTGAAGGCCACAGCATTACTTGTGTCTACCGGAGCAGCAGGTGCATGCAAGTGACTGAGGAAAATTTATATTCTCTGTTTCAAAGCATTTCACTTCATGCATTTTGCAAAACACTCAGCGGCCAAATGTATGTGCCCAAGTAGACATATAATATGTAGGTTTCAATGTAAACAAAAATGCAACCCTTTAAATGTCCTCATGATGCAACCCTCTGCAAGTTTATGGTGAGAATGTTTTGGAATGCCTTTCTGCACATTGATCATTAATGTATCTATTTCTTTATAAGCCAGATTCTCTGTGCAAAAAGGGTGCTCAGAGCAGTATACAAACACCACATTGACCATTTCTGCAGCTGGAGTGGTTTTTAAGAAAAGTTCTAGTTGTCTGGGGATTGGGAAGCCTTCAACCTTCCTAAAATCACCGTGATTCTAGCCCTATTCAGGTCTTCATTACTGGAATAGTGTCACCACACAAGGACAGGCAGCCCCTCAGACCCATCTGCTTCCCTCATCATGTCTGTCTCTCTCCCCTCGTGGAGGATGGCTGCCTGAAGACGGCCTCCTACATCCATGGAGGCTCTTCAGGCAAGAATCCTGGAAAATTAATGTGAGGAATGAGACGGCAGAGAGAAGCAGGGCTGGAACACTCCCTCTCCTCTGTTTTCTCTTCAGGAATGGACACCGAAATAGTGCTTAAGTAAGATGAGATTCGAATCAGCAACCCCTTGGGAGCGTGTTCATGGGCTACTGCCTTGAGAGATCTCATTGATGTTACCACTGATGGAACCGTTTCTCCTTGTTGATGGCGGCAGCAGCAACAAGCAATGACAGGCAGTGGATGCCCAGTTTTACTGGTGGGCCAAGAAGTAGGACGAACTGTTACAAGATAGGTTTCCTGCACCCTGTGCTACAGTAAATGGACACCTTGAACTTTGTGTGTGGCACAGAAGAACAAAATAGAAGAGTTCACATCTAACAATTCAGTTGGACAACATTAACTTCTTTTTTATGTTAGTGAATGGTAGGGAGCACCTGTTCTTCATTAGAAATACCCTTTGACTAATACAATATCCTGTTTCTGCTTACCTGTATAACCTCAGCAGGACTAAGTCTTCATCAAGAATCGGAGATCCATTGTGAGTGTACTTGACTTCATTGGGAAGAAAATGGCAATCAAACACCTGTTAAAAATGGACTTGTTTAAAGAGTAGGCAGTTGATTGTCAATGTTTATCCATTGGGCTCATTTTATTTTGACTTAAGAAACATATAATGTGAAAGTGATATACAGAATTAGCATATGGCATCAAAAAGTGGGGAAAATGTAGGAGGACAAAAGATAGCTTGGTTACTGTCATTGTACTGGGTAGACCACATAATACTATTTTTATCATACTCTTTGGAAAGGTCTAAAATCAGAGTTTGAATAACCTGATCTTCTTGAAAGACTCTCTATGGGCTACTGTCTCCTTTTTGCTGTGATGGATGTTTTCTTCCCTCAAGCCAGTTATTTCTATTTCTTGATCAGATTATGCTAACCTAAGAGAAATTAGGTAGTTTAGTAACATACCTGCATTAGTCACCCCCTTCCCTTACCCTTTAATGAGAGCCACATTCTTAAAGGAAGTGGAATGTTCTAGAAGATATGCACACATGGTAGGGGCACAACACCACTTGCAAGAGCCCAGTGTGTGTCTCTTGCGTTTCCCTCAAACTTCGCATAAAGTGACAGTCAGTGCTTCAGGGTCCTATACAGCATTATGATTATCTTATGTAGCAGTATTCTTTAAAGAATGGAGATGGAGCTTTCCAAATACTGGAGGTGGGGGCAATGAACATCGTGACTACTGACCCTCACATTGTATATTTGATGTTGAGCAAAGCACTGCAACTTAAAATGACTGTAGAAAGATCTGGTCCTAGTGATATTTTCATACATGCTCTGTAAAACAGTTCTTCTTTCAGCTGATTTGAAGTTCAGATACAACTTTATCTAGTATGCCCATTTTCATTACAAATGCAACCCTTTTATCAGATATTCTGAATTCCAAGATGGCCCCGGACATTTTTGTGCCTAAGACTAAACTTGGAATCTGTCCCTTGGCGGTAAAACTCCAGGGCAATAGCCAGTGGAGACTCCCAGTGAGCAGCGACCTGTACCGTTCCCTTCTGCAAGCGGCACCCATCCCTTGTAGAAAGGCGATGCGATTTAACACTTCTGGGGGCAACACAAAATGAGCTCAAACAAAGAGCTCTGCTCGAACCCTGACCCTGTTCCAGAAACAAGTGTCTGTGCTTGTTTGGGGGCTTGTCCTGGAACCACCCTGCAGCAAACAGCGGATGTCACTTACAAAGGAAACAAGCAGGACTGGTAGCTTACAGGACAGAAACAGCAGTAGACTCTGCTTGCGGATGGGCAGCTTTGGATGGCCACTGCCCCCAGTAAGGTAGGGGGAGAAACTATTTGCTGCCAATTTAATGATGCTCCCAGATGTGTCACCGAAGGCAACCAGCTTTATCCCGCCAAATGGTTAGGATAACAGGACCAACTTTGTCTGCTTTATCAATGGTCAGTGAATCTTCCCTTCCCAAATAATGGTAACAAAGTACTCATTTTGTCTCTACCTATGAAAGCTGCTAGTGCAGGAATTTGAAAGAAACCAGATGTATGTCTTAGTCAATGCAGGTTCACATTTGTTTTAGGAGCTGATTTGAAAACAAAGCCATTTCAAGTCCCACATCTGAAAAACGACTTCAGATGTTCACAGAAATAGTGCAAGAGAGGCGCAAAGGCAATTTAACTCTCATATTTCAAATGCATTTAGCCAAGAGAATTCAGTTTCTTCTAATGCAAGAAGCTGTAACTTTGTATAGGCTATGCTATCCATCAGAGAATAATGTCAGAATATTCATTAACAGTATTTTTTCCATAAGATATCATTAGTTTCTCTTCTTAATTGATAATGAGAGAGATAAATAATGAAAGCTTTTTCCTTGACAGGATTCTTGCCATAGACAGACAGCGATTATAAAGTAGACACAATCTGCTTTGTTAAAAAGAAACATCTGTTTTATGCTTCCTAATATGTTTTTCTTTCATACGAACAGGCACCCATAATTGTCTATAAATTTAACAAGTAAAACAAAGGAGAGCTAAATCTTTTCCTAATTAATGTCTGGCTTTGTTTTTATTTCCACTTCAACTACTTTTCAATTACAATTTGTAATTAAATTGTCACACATTCCTAGCACATTACTCAGTTTAATGACAGCAGAGGAGCTCACAGGGAAGACACTTGCATAATGTGGGGTTGCTGGTTAAGACGAGCACCTCTGGCAAGAGGAGGGCAGGTTGCAATTCTCCGTGCTCAGGGATGGTGCCCTGCATTCACTCCTCTTCGCTCCCTTTCCAGTTCCAGAGCAGGAGTCTAAATAGGCATGTTCTGCTGCCAGTTCCTTGGGCAACTTTGGTTTGTTGCTGACTAGAAAAAGCCCAGAATGCTCTGCTGCTGCATCCTGAGCAGTAGCTTGATGGACAGGTGAAACTCACAGCATGGCTGGTGCGAAACGTGATCACCTGCCCATAACTACACACTGCCAGTATGAAAAGCTATGAAAGCAGGGGCCAGACTCAAATGTGTTTATTTTTTTAAAAAAATGCAACCCTATCTCTACTCAAGGAATAGCAGGTGTGCCAATCTTTGCCTGTACACAATTGTTTCAAAGTCCCCTTCTAATTTTAAGTGTTACACTTCAATACATGGCAGCTGTCATATAGTGAAAGGTCTGGCCAATTCACACAGGGCTTAATGCTAATAAGGAGAGAACTCAAAAAGAGCCTTGCTGGACCAAAGGAAAAGCCCACATGCTGTTCCAGCATCTGGACTCCTATGTGGGAGCTCCCAAGCAGGCCATGAGGGCAATAGCCTTCTCCTAAGGGACTGCAGGTGGCGCAGTGGTTTAAACTGCTGTGCTGCTGGGCTGGTTGACTGAAAGGTCACCAGTTCGAATTTGCACAATGGGGTGAGTTCCCGTTGCTCCATCCCAGCTCCTGCCAACCTTGCAGTTCGAAAGCATGCAAATGCAAGTAGATAAAAAGGTACCACTTTGGTGGGCAGGTAACAGTGCTCCATGCACCTCGGTGTTTAGTCATGCTGGCCACATGACCACGGAGACTGTCTGCGGACAAATGCTGGCTCCCTCGGCTAAGAAACGGAGATGAGCACCACCCCAAAGAGTCAGACATGACTGGACTTAATGTCAAGGGGAAACCTTTACCTTTACTATTGCCCCTCAGGTAGGCTGCCTCTGATCCCGGAGGTAATATGGCATAGCCATCATGACAGATAGCCATTCCTATACTTTCCTCTCCGGGCATTTTGCCCTATCACCTTTGAAAGCCATCACCACCAGCACAACTTAAGGAAAGAGTTTCACAAATTAATTCAGCACTGTGCAAAGCAGCATTTTTCCTCCTGTCCTTCAGTGTGCTGCCAATCAATCTGGCCTGCCCCAGACCTCACAGCTTTGCCTGGAGGCCATGTCATCTCCTCCTAAGAAACCCTGACCCAGCCCCAGTCCGATAGAAGATTTGGGATTTCTTCCTGGTAAGGCAAAGGTGTACTCAGGAGCTTCCCCATCTCATCCTTTGTTCATGCCATGATTTATTACCCCCTCATTCCAACCAGAGTGCCAAATGGAAATTTAAACAATGCAATGCCCTTGCCAATGTGTTTATAAACCATTCATTCATTCATTCATTCATTCATTCTTATCATGATGTATCTTAATTTCTGATCCTGCAAACTTCTTAGAGATATCTTTACATATGGTAAGTTGTATATAAATGAATTAAATAAAAATAAAACCAACATCACATAAAGTGTGGGGTGAGAAAGAAAGAGGAAAGGAAAAACATGGATGAGGCAACCAATATATTTATCACATCAATAATAAATTTAGAAAGGGCAAGATGGGATGGGGGACATTTGGCCCTCTACATGTTACTGGATTACAGCTTCTGTCGGCTTTAGTCAGTACAGCCACTGGTGAAGGATAATGGGACTTGCTTTTCCTATCTGTGGGCTGCCTGCCTGGAATAAACAGAAATGTTTTGAAAAGAGCTAGGTCTGTAATGAGTTAGAAAGGCAAAGAAGAAAGGGAAGAATAGAAATGTTTTAATAAATAAATAAATAAATAAATAAATAAATAAGTCAATGTGATTATGAGAACAGAGGCAAAAGATTGCAGAGAACAGGGAGGGCGATACAGTGCCAGGAGGGAGACAAGGGGTCAATGCATCAAAATGTTGCCATGGCTTCTGTTCAGGGTTCTGGTCAAGCAGCCCCCCTCTCTTGCAGGAGGCTGTCCCCACTCCCTGCCCAGCTTCCCGCCCCTCCTGCACCATGCTCAGTGGCCTCTGAGCATCCTCATCCTCACTGAACTGACCCTTCCTCCTGACAACACGTGCTTGTTTTTGTACTCCTGAAAACCTTCGAGTACCCCAAACCTTCAGAGACCTCTCCTTTGAGTCTTGTCAGGCACCCAAAGACGGCACCATTCGTGCACAAGTCTCATGCGAGGATGCCGGCCCCATTTCCGCTAAGGAAGAAGCGGGTGGTAGAGAAGGAGTCCCCTGTCCATATATAGCAAGTGGGGGAACCTCCAGCCTGGCAGCCGGGAAAATCTCCCCATCTGTCTGCCAACCTGTTGCTGGGAAAATCCATTTTCCCAGAGCTACTGTGAAGACTGCAGCTAAGCTCAGCTGGAAAAGGGAAGTCCGGGGAGTGGGAAGGGGGTGACATTATGATTGCTACTACTCAAAAAGCCCCGGTAATTTGAACATGTGGGCCCTGGCTCCACGGCACCACTGAAAATAGTTGAGCACCACCAATAATTTGACTCGGGTATTCAGAACAGGTATCCAGGACTGTTTTGTGTAATTGTGCACTTCTATGTGACATCCTGAAAGGGTTGTTTTGAAGGACATCATAGGAGAGCAGCAGACAAAGCGCAACGGACGACTTGGGATGGGACTGCCAAAAGTACATGGTGAGACAGAAAGATGGTAAAACTTGTCCAGAGCAAAACTGGAGCACAGACCACCGTGGAAGGCTGCCATAGACACTCCCCTTTCAAGCTAGAGCCACACAAAATTCTCAGTGAAAAAATATGAAGAACAG